GCGTGTCCGTCCGACAGCGCGTGGCGGGCCTGGCGGGGGTGCTGTGCCCTGCGTTCTCCGATCGCAATCGCAATGCGAGTGCAGGCTGGGAGAAGCCAGGTGCGACTGGTGACATGGCTGGGGCGCTGCAGGCGTCTCAGGCACTGCAGGCGCTGAGGCTGCATCGGTGTCTTTACAGCGCTGCGAGTGGCCCGTGGTCCTCGGCGGGCGAAGACGAGGGATGCAGCGGGGAGATGCAGAGGGGAGGGCGCGAGGTACTCTGCGGCGACGGATGCGATCCGTTCCTCTGCACTCTACGGCGGCCGACACTCTCCGCGCCGGTCTCGCCTCGCTCGCTTGGGAAACGAGCGGAATGGGCAGATGACTCTTGAACTTCTGGCAGAACCGCCAGAAGCGCCGAAATGAGTGTGCAGAAAACGAGGAAGACGAGGTCGCCCGATAAACTTATTTGCTGATGGGAGTTTACGAACGCCCAGGCACGCAATGTGGGACCTGACTAACCAGGTCTTGATCAGGTTCTGATGAGCTGTCGAGGAGCGCGAGGGGAGGATTACAGAGGATGAGAGATGATGATGGGGCCTGAACCTTGTGTGCCTATTCAGGGCATTCCATTCAGGGCCATTCAGATCAGGGCGAGTCAGGGCGCTGGCACTTTTTAACCTGATCAGAGTGAATACGCCGCTGATCCTCTTTGAGTGCCTGGCACGCAAGTGGGCTCTTGCTCGCCAGCAAACATCCCCATGGCTCTTCGTTATCAGATGGGCTTGCTGGGCCCACTGTTGGAAGCACGGATCACGAGTTTACACCGGATAAGCAACGTCCAGAGCCCCGAGAAAAGCGAACCGGGGATGTGCAGTGGCGTCCGGACACCGGACATGGGATATGGACAGCGATAGGTGACGGACATGGGCGATGCCCGCAGACCGAGCATTCCTGCCCTTGGATTGTTCGGTCACCATGTAACGGTGTGCCGTGTTGCCGTGTTGTCGTTGGCTCTGTCGGCTCGCTGGCTGAGGTCAGCCAGACTGGACCCCGTGACTTGCCCAGACATAGGTCACAAAGGTCCCGGGACCTGTGCGAGGATGTGCGACCTGTGCCAGTTCCATCCGAGCAGCGAGCGTATCGATCGGCCGACCGAGCCCCAGCCAGTGCGACCCAACGGGCTCAACTAACCCCGCGAGTAAGACAGATGCAAGGCGACACAGATCTAGCCATGCGGTGATGCGGTGCGTGTGAGGGTCGGCGCTAGCGTGTGGAGTAGAGCGAGTCGGGTCGGGGCTCGCCTCGAGCCAGCGGTTGTAGCAGCGGTGTGCGCGGCGTGCGGTCGCCCCTGCCCTCTTGCCGTCCTGGGATGTCTCAGTGATCGCGGTGTTCACATGCGTATTAACATGCCATATTCCTCTGCCCTGTGGGGGAGCAGGATCGCAGGCAGAGCGTTCATTTTCCATTTCCCATCATGCAATCAGGTTTCTGCCTTGCAAGCCATGCATATGGGCGATTGGACAAGGCGGGGAACATGGGGAGGGCAGAGGAACTGGTGGGATGGAGCTCGGGACGCGGCACGGAATCCTCAGGGCTGGCGAAGTGCGCTTTAACCGCTTTCGGCAGGTTGGCGTCCTGGCTGGCATGCCTCTGTTATCGCTGCCTCCAGAGCCTTGGTTCGCCCCTCTTTCCCAGCATCCAGGAAAAAGTCGCCAGGAATGTTCATCACTCGCCAGGATGCAGACGCTCTGATCACGCCCTGCAAAACAGCACAACAAACAAATGCCGCTGCGTCCTCATGCAGAGCTGCACCGCGTCAATGACGCCTCAGGGCTGGGGGCCTCGCTATGCACGCCTTGTGGTCCTGTGGAGTGCACCCACCCACTGCAAGTAGCGCCGCCGCGGGTAAGTTGTCTCCTGCTGCCGCTGTCATGTCGTTGGCTGCAAGGAGAGGACCGCCTCCCCTCGGTGTACGCATGTGCCGTACGCCGCGCGCCTCGGTGCTCGGTGGATCGGTGTCGATGAGATCGCAGGATCGCAGCATTAAGGATTATGATCGGGCTTCATAAATCTTGCAAAACGATATCGCAATCTGCACGCATGTCTTCGCAAGCGTGGTTTGCGCCCATGTACACAGCTCCGGTAATCGCAATCGCATTGGCATGCGCAACCTTACCGTGTCGCTCGCAGGGTGTGCACAGAAAATCCCACGAAAGAACGCAAAAAGGCAATCGCAATTTGGCTCTGGTGTGACCCTCCACTTTGCAGGGTTGACAAACCTTGACCATTTGCAGACCTGTTCCTTGGCTTTGGGGGGCATATGGGGGTTATTGGGGGATGTGGACGTTCCAAACAAGGTTTGCTAGGCACAATCTACGGGCCTCCCTCACGGTAAAGCGCGGGCACACTGGCCGTGTGCTGCCTCCTGGCCTGCCGCTTTGCTCCATGTAAGGCACAAATAAGCACAGGCTTGTCTGTGCCAGAGCCCTGGGCTCTCGCTGCAGCAGCGGCTGATGGCAGCAGACGTAGACGTGCGCACTCCTTTTCCACAAAGCGTAAAATGTTCGCAAGCTCTCAGCTATCGCCCAGCTGGCACTCCAGCACTGCACGGAGGAGACCGGAGTGTATCTCCTTGAGTTGTGGACGAACCTGAACCGGGAGCCGCTGCGTTCCCAAACTCACTCCTTCACGGAGATTGGGACGCTTCCTTGGGCACAGACGGGGGGCACGGGTGCACACGGGCCGAGTCTGTCACTTGGCGAGGAACAGGTACATCGGCAGCAAAAGTTGGGCTGGTACTGAACGGACCCGCCTGCCGGCCTGGCGGGAATCCCGATCTTCAGAGCCTGCAGAGTTGTCGTGATACTCCACGTTGTGATTGCTGCGCTTAGCTGGAACGGAACCACGGAGGCGTGATCGTGGCGACTTGTTAGCAGCTGCGCCGCGATCGCGGCCTGACGGGGCTGATGGGACTAGTCTCCTGAGATTATGACGGTACACCCGAGGGATGTGGAGAGCGGTATGGTAAGATTGCCACATGCACTCGCGGGGTATGAGATATGGGATATGGGAAGTGAGAGCCAGAGCGGGTCATGGGAGCCATACTGCCAGATGCCACGGGTGCCATGGATGGTGGGATCTGGGCCGATGTCTTAGTCGAGCGCCTGAGATATGCGGTCGGTCCTAATCGCTGGTTCGCCGGGTTCATCTGGCGGATCGAGCGGGGTCCAGCAGCGGATATCGACCCGCCAGCTCGCCACTGGCAGGGTTGGGCTGCTTGGCCTGCTGACCAGACGGACGGTACTGGGTGCTGCATCTTGGGCCGCGCACGCCGGAGAGTGTGGAGCCAGAAGCGACGGCGCAAGCGAGCAGCACTGGCGGGCCGGCTGGGCTGGCTGGGGGCAGGCGCGGGCTGGAAGACCGACTTGACCGACTTGATCAGAGCTTGAACCTAACGCGGGGCGGCGTCCACGGCTCTGCCTCGCTGTTCGCTCGCTCTGCGGCTCGGGCGGCTCTGTGGACAGCGGCTCAGAGCGGCGGGGTCGACGGCTGCGAGCGAGCCCTTTTGCGAGGGCGCAGGGCTGGGCGGCGGAAGGGAATCGCAGCCCCGCTCAAGTGGCGTAATCGCGGTAGAGTCGATGCCAGGGACGCCTTCCTCAGGGTCACGAGTTGGACAACGTTTGCATCCTGAGCTGCAGCGCTGCAGCCTGCATGCATCTATCACCGCCTCTCACCGTCACAGTGGCGAGATCCCAGAGCAAACACTCCCCTGGTCCATGTCATCACTGGCCCGATACGATACGACGGCATCGACACACCGACAGCCTGCCGTCTGCTCGTCTGCTCGCCTGCCCCTGTTCCTCTTCGCTCGCAAGACACTGCCAGCAGCCAGGTAAGTGCATCCGCGAATTGTGATGCGGGCTTGGGTGGCACGTACGGCAGCGATACGTAGTGTTCGAACCATACACCGGGCCGGTTGCGCCGCAGGGTCCATGGCATCGGTGGATTATCGTTAATCGAGGACAGGAAGAGTGGAGATGACGAGTCACGATTAGATCGGATCGAGGATCGAGAGACCAAGATCGAGCGCGCAGTACAGGCGCTAAAGCTAAGGAAGGCTGCAAGGCTGGCTGCCTGGCTGGCTGGGGGGGCGGGAGTGTGCAGAAAACGAGGAAGACGAGGTCGCCCGATAAACTTATTTGCTGATGGGAGTTTACGAACGCCCAGGCACGCAATGTGGGACCTGACTAACCAGGTCTTGATCAGGTTCTGATGAGCTGTCGAGGAGCGCGAGGGGAGGATTACAGAGGATGAGAGATGATGATGGGGCCTGAACCTTGTGTGCCTATTCAGGGCATTCCATTCAGGGCCATTCAGATCAGGGCGAGTCAGGGCGCTGGCACTTTTTAACCTGATCAGAGTGAATACGCCGCTGATCCTCTTTGAGCAGGAGAGGAGCTGCGGATTGGGCCGATTGGTTCTAGGTCGCTGCTCGTGCGCGGCAGCCTGTGGCTACTGGCGAGTTGGATGGGATTGCGATGTCGGAGTGGTCGAGTGGTGTGTTCCTCGTGGTAAGGCTATGGAACCCTGGCCTAGGCAGACTAAGGCGCAAGAGGCTCCGTCTGCCCTCTGTTGCCTCTGGACCCTGGCCAGGACGGACCCACCGTGTCCCTGCTCCCCCGTCCCTCCGCCGCCTCGTGCCTTGGGCCTGGCATGCCCTGGATGGTGCCTCATTCTGTGGCGTCTGCCCTTGGGGATCCTTAGGACCTTAGTCCTTAGTCTGTGGACCCTGAACCCTCTAGCGCTCTAGCAGCTGGACGAGGTCGACTGGACTGGCTTACTCCAACCTGGCGCCGCTGCTCCAGGAAGCTCCAGAGCTAGACCAGCCCTGCGATCCTGCGATCCTGCGATCCTGACCACAGCACCAGAGCCAAACCACCCACAGCGATCATCCCTTCTCCCACACCCACCACCACCTCCAGCATCCCCCGCCCGATGCCGCTGCCGCTCTAGCCGTCATGCCCAGATCATCAGAGCCAGAGCCCACACGGCACTCTCTACCATTGCGCGCGCTCACTCCCTCCTCGCCATCCTCTCTGCGATCACCCAAAGCTTTATACATACATCACTCTCACCCTATTCCCTATCTCTCCAGCGACTCCGACTTCCTCACGCTTTACCTCTACCAGCAACTCGGCGCTAGACATTCAGAGCCAATCCGTTCAAGCCCTCGATCCCCCTCATCCCATATCTCCGCTCCCTTCCTCCTCCTCCCCTGCTCCTCTCCTCTCCTTCCTCAGTCACCCTCAGCACCCGAGCTTCAGTCTCTTAGCTCTCGACGCCAGAACCAGAAATCCAGGACTAGGACTAGGACCAGGACCAAGACGCGCGCGCTCTCAATCAACGCTCCTCCTCTGCTCTCACTCCTCGGTGCTCGACCTCACGCTGTTGACATAGACTACAAGTACCCAGGAACTCGTCCACCTCCCACTCATCTTCCCCCCTCAACTTCCAACCTTTACGCAACGTCAACAACCTTCTCTCGACATCACTGCACACCATCGCTCGCAAGCTCGTCGACGTCAACGGTATCTGAATGCACACCAGCGCATTCTAGTACTCCACAAACCCCTGCTCATCTTACGTAGTATCAAGTCATTTGTCAAACACTTAACTTGGTACACCTACCCCTGGTGGTCATCATCGCATACCCCTATCTTCACGTACTACCCCTTCCGCTTCACAATTCAACACTCTTAGCAACCGACCACTGTCGCCTCTGTCCATGTCCGCTACGACCGCCGCCAACTCCACAACATTACCTCCCCTCCATACCATGGACCAGAAGCCGATAGGATCCAAGCCTGAGTACGAATACTCTTCTTCCTTCAACGCCTACAACATGAACGCTCCGGGAGCCGTCCCCGCGGTCCCGCCTTCCCTCTCCCCCGTCACTCCCCTCAACTCCGAGTTCCCCGCTACCTCTTCCACCCAGGAGGAGTACTATGACCGCCGCCAGGGCCCCAACCCGCCGCCGCAGTCGTCGGAGAACTACACGTCCCCTGGTTTCTCGTCCCCGACTTCGACCGCCTCGAGGCGGTCTTCCGACCAGAACTACGACTCCAAGTCCCCTCTGGCTGGCAAGCCGGAGACTGAGGCCATCATCATTCCTCCCATTGTTCCCCCCTCCGTTCAGTGGCCGACGACCAACTTCGAGGACTGGGACGACCTCCCGGACATCCTCCGCCAGGACCGCAAGGCCGACTTCACTCCTCGTCGCCCGATGAACGTCTACTTCATCTACATGCGCGTTCGCCGATCAGAGCTCGCACTCCACAACCCCCAGCTCCAGACTGGAGAGCTCTCCAAGATCCTTGGTCGCGAGTGGAACAACATGACCCCGGACCAGAAGGCTCCCTGGGCCGAGCTCGCTGACCGCCTCATGCGCGCTTTCAAGAAGAAGTTCCCGGACTACCAGTACGAGCGTGGAGGAAGCCGCCGCAACGGTCGCCGACGTGGTGGACGAGGAGTCGGTGGAGCCTTCACGGTTGTTACGCCTCACATGATGGTGGAGAACGCCGCGCGCCGCGCCTCGGTTCCCAGCTACCAGCTCGCCCACCCCCGATCAATGCCCTACCCGGACCCCCAGTCGCACCAGCACCAGCAGTTCGGCTACCGGGACTTTGCCAACCCGGCCCAGTACCCCATGCACCAGGGTGGTCTTGCGCCGCTCACCGCTGTTCCTCTTCACTACGCTCAAGGACAGTGGGCGCCGATGGAGGCGGCTCCTCACCACGAGTACGCTCACCCGCCGCCGCCGCCCCCGCATGCCGCGCAGCAGTACTACGCCCAGCCCTCGGAGGGACCATCATCGTACGCCAGCGCGTACCCTCCGCAGCAGCCGCAGTACTCGCACGCGCCCCACCCCCCGCCCTCGCACCAGTCTCAGCCTGCCATGTACTCCCAACCTCAACAGTCGGAAGGTGGTGGCTGGGACGAGTACATCGTCCAGTAAAAGAAAGCCCAGGACAATTCACGCTTTTAGACGCGGGGCTTTGATACCCTCCCCATCTGTTGATTGATATACCTCCCGAGGCGCTTCGCGAACACTTCCTTTTACACGACCACATCCTCTCAACGCACACTGTAACAACGCAATCATATCTTCTCACCAAGACATTTTTCGCTTTTTATTTCGATTCACTTCGTCGTCGCGCGTCTCAACACATGTGCCACACGTCCTCTCCACCCCGAAGTTGATACCTCACCCAGCTCCATTAGCCTGCGCTCATAATATCATCAACCCACTTGAACTCTTTTTGACATTGGTCTCCATTGAAATTGTACTCTATCCAGTCCTCTCAAGTCGCCGGCCAATCCCCCGCGCGCACTGCTTGCCGTATCGTATCGTACATTTCCTCCTCTCAGTATCATTATCGTGTTCCCGGATCCTGAGATGTTTGGAGGATCCCTTGTTCCATGCAATGAAATTTACACGACTTCGCGCGCGACTGCACGAGCACTACTTAGAGTTCAGCCCAGAACTGATCACGACGCCAGGTCCATCAGGTGTTTTTCGCAACCGAGCAGGCGCCGTCGCTCGAGCTTGCTTGATACCTGGCGCTACGTTCCGGTGTCCTGTATTCTGTCGCCTGTGTTTTCAGTTTTCAGTTTTGCACTGGAGCCACCCAAGTGCGCAAGTGCGCTCGTGATGCTTTGCGAGTGGAAATCCGGTATTCCTGGACTGAATAGGGGGTGAATAGCAGGCTGGACGCTACCGGTCGAGGCACAACGTTACGCTCTCCTTGGTGAGTCATGGATGACGACGCTTGTGTTACTGGGGATCAGTCCGGTTCCGGGATGTCTGCCGGCGAGACATTGAGCAGTACGTCAGCCGGGCATTCAGTTCGTCAGCAAGATCGGATTGGAGTGCGTGCGCGCATGCGTGCGCGCATGCGTGCGTGCGGACGCGCAGCCGTGCTTGCAGCAGAAGCGAACATGCAAAGGCAGAGAAAGGGAGAGCGAGAGCAGAGGAGGGAAGAGGGAGGCGTAAAGTCGGCCCTGCCACGCGCGCCCGGGAGAGGAGCACAAACAAACAAGACCAGAGACCATCAGAGTTCAGATTCCAATAAGCGATAGGGGCATAACGAGCGAGATCAGAGTGTGTGATAGGGGGATTAATTATCTGATCAATCCTGAGGCCTAATCTGCACACCCAAACAGTGCTTTCTCAGTGGGCTGTCCCAGAGCCAAGCCATGTCCCAGAGCCGCAGAGCAAGTTGGGTTTGTACGCATGCCCTTCAAGCAGGAAGGAAGGGCGTGAACCAAGCAAGCCCAAGGTAATGCGTAATCGAACCCAGGGGTTCGAAAGGGACAAGAGGTACGCAAGCCCCGGCATCTGGCGTGCCATGCTGCAGCTTAATGGACTTTAAATGATCGGTGCTCTGGAGTTTAATTTCGTGGCATCGGCTGGTGTTATGCGAGCAACTGTTGCGATAGAGTTTGGACGGTAGGAACGAGGGGAGAAAGGGAAAGAGAGGAATAGGAGAGGTAGGGGGGGAGCCCAGCTGCCACGATCAGCTGCACGGCGGGTCCGAGACCTACGCGAAGGCGAAAGGAGCAAAACTCACGGCTCACGAGAGCGAAGAAGGAGGGGGGAATAAGTTAGGCAGATGAGTAAACAATGTCGATAAAGTTGCGCGGCTATCGCACCGCATTCACCCAACCCAACCCAACTCAAGCTAAGCTTGGATGTCTGCAGGGCTCGGGTGGATGTGTGAACATCCACCGTCTGCGGCTGCGCTGCACTGCAAAGCTCCACAGGAGGAGTGGGCGGCGGCCGACCCACTGTGACGACGTCGAGGCATAAGTTTCTCACAACGTTTATTAGTCCCCGAATGGTATGTTAGGTGTGGTGGGGTGTGAGATTCCCAGATATCCGGAGCCGCAAGACAAGTGAGGGAGATAGAGCGAGTTGGGGGATAGGAGAATTTACTATGCATAATGTGCTGCTCTCGCCCTTGGCCCTTGCCCTCCTTGAAGGCGGAGAGGTGGCTGCGCAAGTGCGCCCAAGGTGTTGCGCTTACGAGAGAACCTGCGACTTGTGATAGACGCAGAAATCACGTAAAGATAACACTGACCCAACTCTGTCCATCAATGCGATGAATGGCCGGGCACAAAGTGTCAATGAAACGGTGTCTGACCCAGGTCTGGCACGGGCGGGCACGGACTGGCACGGGCTGGCACCGCCGGCGAGGGACGGCCGACAGCATGTCCAAAAGGACTTGAAGGGTTGGAACAGTGTTTGGGAACGATGGAAGCGAACTAGACACATCGCTGGGAACCGATTCGAAGCAGACTGTACGCACTACCGCTGCATTACCTGGCAGATGGGCTGCACGTCGTGTGAGCAAGGACTAACGGCCTCGGTGTCGTACCGAGACGAGCTGCACGCACTACTGCACGCACTCAATGCACCTAAGATCGCCGTACGTCATGCAACTTGCACACCCGCTGCCTGCGCTGCCCACACGACCCGCGATCACGGGATGGTGCATGGTGGCAGTGGTGCGACAAGTTCCCCTACGCTATGCCTCTTTCAAAATGTCAATGAATGCAACCCCACAATCCGCCATGTCCACCTGCAGTATTCAGAGCGTCACAGTGCACGGCCCTCGAGATCTGCGGGAGACGGCAAACGCCCGGCACGCTCCACATGCTCAAGAGGCTTGGTCGGTCTGGTCGGGTGCAAACGTCATGAATGGCCGAGTCAATGGCGAGTAGTCACCGCCGAGCGACGTGCGACGCTGAACAACTGTAGGGTACTGTCACCCTCACCGAGAAGACCGGCTGATCTGGAAAATCTGGGCTTTGGGCGATCTCTGGACTTGGATGTGGATATGGATGTGGGTGTACACCGGAAGCGAATAGAATGGCGCTCCCCCCGTCCAGGCCAGCCTGTATTGCTCGACCGGAGTGAATGGTTCCAGACAAGTGGCTCGTTTCGCGACCATTCTAGCAGGTTTGCTGGAAACGAGATGAGTTGGCCTGAATGTCTTAGTCGAGGTATGCAGGAGCGCATAGCCTGGACTCAGTGCTTCGGTCTGGGGAGATCTGTGGAGCGGAGGGAGGTGGCATGTGGGCGGCCGAGACCGAGCGGCCGAATGCCGGGTTGGGAGAGGGAGTGGAGACATTGTGGCTGTGTGGCTAACTCATCAAGCTGTCGGTCTGACCAACGCCGTAGTGAGCTCAAGAGTAGTGTGGTGATGACTGATGTGCATCAGGCATGGCGTACTGACTGCGTTAGTCTGAGTGCTGACATGATATGTGTCGGAAACGGGCGATCTCGGGCCCGTCTTCGGGACACCTGCCCCGACGCTCGGTGCACGGATCAACGCTCGGAGGCTCGGAAAGTTCGGACATATGTTACAGGGGGTCGTTCATGCTGGCTCGAGTGTCTGATTATAACAAAGAGAGAGAGTGTGTGTGACGAATTATAACTGATGAGCCGTGCGTACGGAGCTGGACATTTGTCTTTGCTCTTCGTCTTCTTCATGACGATGTTTGTAATCGTTAGGGGGTTCTGCTAGTAGTGTTGGTAACGGAAATGCGGCCCGGAGGGCTGAGGGTAGGCGAGACACCCCTCGTGCGCTGTCGTCAAGCAGTAGCGGTGCGCGAGCCCGCTGCCCTTCCTTGCCAGCATCAGCTTCGTTATCGCGTCTGCCTCGGCGGGGATGTTGCCCAAGGTCTGATTCCACTGGTGGCACAGCGAGAAGTGCGCATTCTTGAGAACTGATGTTAATCCGCCCTCCTCTCCTGTCCATGCTGCTGCGACTTCATCGTCGCGGGCGCCCTCACTCACCAGCGATGCCTACGATAAGCGTGGTGTGGGTCACATACCGCATCTCGACGAGGAGGCGTGCCCACTGGATTGCGCGGAAGTAGTGCCCCAGACTGTCCCACGTCTTCGCGATCCTAAGGATGAGATCTCCCTGCCTGGATGTCAGCATGATCCGTATTTTGATAGCTCACAGATGCGCCACCCCAGTCTCCTCCGCCTGGTCCGGTGTCATCGCGATCGGGCACGCATGCCACGGAAGCATGTCGAGCAGGAGGCCGAGGTACACCGCCAGCGCCTCGTGATGCCGTCCGACGCTGAGCAGCTGCGAGTCCGCCGCCTCCATCCGCATTTTCAGTCGCGGAACGAGGTCGTACACCGGCTCGGCTTCATTGTCGGCCTTCCGCCGCCGAGCAGCTTCCAGCGCCTCTTCCGCTTCGTTCGCGTCGTCCCCTTCCCTGCTCCCATGCCGAAGAAAGGCAAGAGCGGCGTGCACGAAGATCAGGAGTGAGTTGCGCTGCTGCCTGTCGTGAGTCGGGAGGTAGCTCGCCACGGGTGTCCCTCTGGAGTCAGCATTGCCACGCAGTGTGAAGTAAGCTCACGGCTTGTGGATCAGAAAGGATACCACGGCGAGCTCCTTCAGCTCCTCCTCCGAGCTGTCAACCGCATGCAGTCCCCAGAGGCGTGCGTTGAGCCTCGTGTCCGCCTGCGTCAGCACCGAGTCGTCCAAGCCTAGACGCTCAATGGGCAGACAATCGCCGCCGGTCGTCATGTCGCTCGTGAGCCGGCTGTAGAGGACTGGAACGGTGCTGGGCGTCATCGTCAGTGACCAAGTGACGAGAGCTAGCGCAGTGAGTGCGGGAGTGGGAGGAAGTCAGAGATGCGATCTCGTTGCTAAGCCATTTTTGAGACGCTGCTTTTCGGACATGCACGCATACGCACGCACGCTCGCACACACGCGGATGGGACGGGGGGAGGAGGTCGGCGGAGAGGCCCAGTCCGTGCAACCCCGGAAGGTCCCGACAATGTCAATAACAATGTTTGCCACCGACCAACCACGCAGGGGCCTCGGCGCCGCTCGCCACAGATTGCCACCCGACGAACACGGTGACTCACCAGATGCGCTCAGGCGCGCTTACTGTCTTCTGGGCAACATGTGGTGACCTGCATTGTTCGTGAAAGAAGTTGAGGAAGACAATGTCCCATCGAGCGCACGGGCATCCGTCACCGCGAGATCGGAAGAGTCGGAGTTGATTATGCGGCTCCTCATCGGTTGGTGAAACACGATTATCTTCGAACTCTCCCAACTTGTATTTCGACCACGTGACGTTCCTTAGTATCAGATGCAGCTTCTGTAGTCGGAGGAGGCCGATTAGAAAGTTTATCAGTGTCTTTCTGATGCATGCGATGACTGATCTCAAGTATCGAATACATTTTTGAGCCCTAGATAAGAAGTGGTTATCCCGTCATCACGTGATACAGGGACCCAAGCGCGTCGCTGCCCAGCCGATTGTTGACATCACCAGTCCAGCACTCCCTCTCATTCATTTCTCGCTGCACGTTGTCCATACCGCTGAAAATGTCCCACCAACACTTCATTCCTCGCCGACGCTCAACGCCCAAAACTATCCGGCAAGCTCCTTGAATACGATGCCATTCACCGTGCGCGGCTCCGAACTCGAGCTTCCACTTGACGATCTCATATTCTCGCCCGTTGTCCTATGGATAGACAGCATGAGGCAGGATAAGGTCCAGGAGGATGCTGTTCTGCAAGGGGCGGTATCCTCAATCGTAAATATGGCGAAGGGAGCAATCGTCCGAAAGAGCAAGGCGACGCTAGCCAACTACGCGGGTTCAAACATGGACAATATCTTCGTCGGGGCGCGGTCTGTTCCGTTTCACCTGCAAGGCATACCAAGCCGCTTGATCAAGTAGCACCAGGAGGTGCGCGACATTGTGACGGGCAAGGTGCGTCGCATACGATATGCCATCACTGATGACAGGATTCCACCCCGACGACTTCCGCCAGGTCCGCATCGGATTCGTCTGCCGCCAGCGTTCGCGTCCCTGACATTATGATCGTTCTACGCCCAGAGACAGATGCACACAAGAGACTTGTGCTTTTGGCCGGCGAGGTTAAGGCCTTTGAAAAGGTGAGTAGTTGTGAGCCCAGCCAATGGAGAGCTCACTCATCAGAATAAGCCAAAGGACAAGGCGACCCGCTTCCAACAAGGAATGGGTCAGTGTCTACTCTACCTTATCCAGAGCAACGAATGGTGCGGCACGTACTTGGGCCTCTTCGTCCTCAGCTCCCAATTCTCCCGCATGTACATTCCTCACCACGGGGAGATCATGGTCGAGATGAGATCCAGGGCAGGAACAACTATGACCGTATCTCAATTCTGTCAAGCATCCGGACTGGAAGATCAAATGCCGCACGACATGCTCGACGGACCGGACCTCAACGACGAGGAGCTGAGGGTCTTGTGGGACTTTATTGCCCTAGTTCGCAGGATCGCTGCCGCGATGCCCGATCCATTGCCCGACACTGTGCCCCGCGCCGACGTTCCCCTCGGTCAGGATCAATCGGTCTGCCTCGACCCGAACGACCCCACCTCCCTTGTCGCCCTGATGGAGCTTGCGGCGAAGGCTCATCCCCGGGAGTTCCCCGCGTGGTGGACGATTGTGAAGCGAGAACTGCTCCGCGAAGGGAGCGACGACCCTGTGCCTCCCGATACTTACCGCAAAAGACAGAAGCGCTCTGTGGAGGCGCCGGCACCCTCGGGGGACGGACATCCTACGACGGGTGGAGCGGGCAAGGCGGCCGTGGAGGATGGGGTGGACGTGGCGGCCACGGTGGGCAGGGAGGAGGAGGAGGAAAGGGAGGAAGAGGCGGAGGAGGCGGAGGAGGCAAAGGAAGTAGAGGTGGCGGGGCAGACGACAGAGACGCCTACAACGGCGATCAAAACGAAAGCCCGAGGGACCAGTACCCACGGACGGGCAACGAAACCTCCGAACGGCGTCCCGCCGGACCCGGCGAGAGTAATCAACGGTCGGTGGCAGCGGACGACCGCGGCGGCGACGATGGTGCAGAGATGTCCAGCCCGCAGTGTGAGTTTCGCTGTTATCGGATGGATATGCTAACAGCGCAGACGTGCCGGGCGACCCGAATGAGAACTTTGCGTCGTCAGCAGCTGTCACCCCAGACCCTTCAACCCCTCCGCTCAGCGACGTCGACGACGACGGAGCGAGTTTCCACACCCGCCGATGGGTGCATCAAATTCGGAGCATGAGTGCTCCCGAGACCCCTGGTCCATCTCCAGAGAGACCAATAAGGTTGTATAGCCCGGAAGAGCTGTTTGGCGAATCTCCGGAGCCGAGTACGATTCTGCACGAGCCTGCGCCGTTCGACGAAGACGCCATTGCCTTCCTTATGGTCGAGCTTCAGGGATGGACGGTACGCCTCGTTAGCTCCGCTACCATGGACGCCGCGATCAGCGCCGCAACCGCATTCACCACCTGATGTATCAACACCATGGCGATTCTAAGAAATGATCGACCCGTAACGTAGTTGTAGTATTTAGCTGTATTTGCATAAAGCCACACTGTGAGAAGTCTAGTCTATATATTGTTTTAGTTGAGGGTGCCGTCCTTGTGGTCAAGCATGCCCTCCTCTTTCCTCATCTCGTACCCGAGCTTTGCATATTCCTCGAGACACTCCGGATTCCTGAGCGTGGCGGGGTTGATGCTCGAGGTCGGCGCGCCATTGATGACCTTGCGGATGGGGACCTCGATCTTCTTCCCTGTCAGCGTCATCGGAATGTCGGAAACCTGGAGAATCTTGGCGGGCACATGTCTGGCGGACCTGGCTGCGCGGATCGAGGTCTTGATGAGCTTGACGAGCTCGTCGTCGAGCGTCTTGCCCTCGTGCATCTTGACGAAGAGGATGACCTTCTCGTCCGCGCCGCCGTCGACGAGCAGACCCACAACAAGCGTTTCCTCGACGCCCTTGGCCGCAAAGGCCGGGTTCTCGAGCACAGAGTAGATGTCCGTGGGGCCGAACCGGATGCCGCCCGGGTTCAGGACACCGTCCGAGCGGCCGAGGAAGACGAGGCCGCCGCCGTTGCCCGAGCGCGAGCGCGTGATCTGCACAAAGTCGCCGTGGTACCAGAGCCCGTCGTCGCGGAAGTAGCTGTCCTTGAAGCGCTGCGCGGCCGCGTCGCAGTCGGCCGGCGCGATCAGGTCGCCATCAGGCAGAGAGGCGGCGGGCAGCGGCCAGAATCCCACCGGCTCGATCGGGAACGCCTGGCGCACCATCAGCTCGCCCTCGCCGTGCTCGACCGCCGCGGTGCTGTCGAGCGCGAATCCGAGCATGCGCGCCTGGATCTCGCCCCTGTACACGGGGAGCGCGGTGCAGCGCCCCGCGAAAACGGAGCAAATGTCCGTGCCGCCCGAGACGGAGCCGAGGAGCACGTCCTTCTTGATGTTCTCGTAGACATAGTCGAAAAGGTGCGGCGGCAGCGGCGAGCCCGTGCTCATGATCTGTCGCAGGGTGCTCAGGTCGTGCTTCGCTCCGACATCGGGGTAGTGCTTGGACAGCTGCTCGATGTACTTGGCGCTCGTGCCGAACTGCGTGATGCCGTACTCGTCCACCATGCGCCAGAGGGATCCGGGGTCCTTCAGCGGCGAGCCGTCGTAGAGAAGGACAGTGGCGCCAGTGCCGAGGCCGGAAATGAGGTACTGCCACATCATCCACCCGGGAGTCGTGTAGTAGAAGAAGACGCTACCGCGCGTGATGTCGCCCTGGATGTGGTGCTCGCGCAGCGAGTCGATAAGCATACCGCCCTGGCGGTGCTGCAATGTTAGCTGGACTCCTTCCAACCGTGCAGCAGTCTTCTGACGCCCGGTACTCACCACAATAGCCTTTGGCTTGCCCGTCGTTCCGCTCGAGAACAGGATCCAAATCGGCTCGTTGAATCCGATACGCTCAAAGCTGATCTCCTGCGGCTTGTACTGTCCGACCCAGTCGTCCCATCGGACCAGGCTCGTCCAGCCGTCGTTTCCGCCGTCGATGAAGTCGGCAATGTTCGCCTGCGAGTTGAGCTCGTCGGGGAGGTGGTTGATGAGCACAGTCGTCTTGGGCGGGTGGGTCAGGCTGCCGAGCAGCTTGGGCAGGAGGGGGAGGAGCGCGTGCGACTTGGCGTTGTACACACACCCGTTCGAGACGAGGAGGACGTGCGGCTTGATCTGCTCGAGACGCTCGATGACGCCGTCGACACCAAAGTCGGCAGCGGCGGAGGAGAAGATGGCACCGAGAGACCTGTTGTTAGTTTTGACAGAGACTACCCAACTCACGAAGCAGCGAGGACAGCAGCGACGGCCTCCAGACGGTTACCACCCCAGTAGGCGACGCGGTGACCCTTCTGCACACCCGCAGCCTTCATCGCCTGCTGCACCTTGGACACGAGGTCGTAAAGCTCCTTCTGCGTCACACGGCGCGCAGCGGGCTCGTGGCCAGGGCAGTGCTCCGTCGTGTCGATGATGGCGACGTCGTCGGGGTGCTCCTTAACATGGCGGAGCTGGTTCTCGGCCCAGTTCAGCTTGGCGTTCGGGAACCATTTCGGGTTGTCAACGGGGAGCGCCTTCTCGTCTACGTACTGGGCGTCAGTGGTGCGTTCTCTAATGTTGTTGTTGTTGGCGCATGGAACTCCGTGGACGCTCGGCTAACGCCCCAAGATTTCGACACGTGCGGAGCAAAGTTGGGAGGACACTCACGGGAGCAGCGCCCTTGTCGCCGACGACTCCCTCCCAATCCCAGACCTCGGACCAGTAGTCGCCACGGTTGTTGCAGGACCACTTCCACAGCTCCTCATACGAGCCCAAGTTCAGGTTGTACTTCTTGTTGATGTGGTCGCGGAAGAGGCTCGCCTGGGCCTTCTCTGGGTGGGCGGGCTGCCACAGAAGTTCGGGGTCTGTCGCCATGGCGCTGGACAAAGAAGTGTGTGTGTACGGGAAAGCGTGTTGATCAATGCTCGAGATTCCTGAAGGTCGAGAAGGTCGAAGCTATCTGATCAGCAAGTGAGTTGTGCAAAGGGAAGCCGCGGGGGTGCGAAGTCGTTGTGGACTTTGATAAGACGATATTTCTCGGATGAACCGTGTCGATACCCAACGAAATCAAAGGGAGAAGGTTGTGGGGTTGGCCGGACCTCGCGTATCCCGGTTAAGTCGCGGCCGTGCGGGGGTGCGCGGGGTAGTCATCGCATCGAATCCGCGAACGGACCCAGCGCGCCCGGCTGGGGCCTCCACCAGGCAACCAGGGCCCGGCCTGGGCCACGTGCAAGATCACGTGTGTGTACGTAAAGCCATTCCCCAAGAGTCCAGGAGTCGAGTGCAAGCGTGCAGGGTGATGTGTGGACATTCCAGAGCGCTCCAAGGTTCAAGCAAGGCCCAGGTCCGACTCGGCGCATACGTCGTGTATGTCGACTCGTGCGGCTCGACCGGACTTGGCTTGGACCATTGGGCTGCGACTAGATTATTCTGAGGCAATTGAATGGGAACTTGGAGCGAGCGACTGCACATCCCAGTCCTAATATGTGCACAGAACTGACGCATGATGTGATCCTGGGCGCATGACTCCTTATTCACCGGTCGACGGACCGTGACACTATCAGATTGGCAACGACTCCGCCCTGTCGGCCAACTCCGGTACGGCGCAGTGGGCGGGGAACGCCACTCGTCTTTCGGTCTTTTTCTGCACTCTCGCTTTGCCTGGCCGCTGGAGCTCGGACCGGACAGTCTGCTGCTGGAGCTTTTGCACGAGTGACGGTGCTACACTCAACTTTACTCTGCTCTACTCTGTCGCCACTGCACACTTTCTGTTGTCTGTGCTGTTACCCCGACACTGGCACACGACCGATCAGAACTCTCCGACCTATCACCGAGCGAGCTCTCGGCTAGTCACCAGCGACAGACCAGACTAGCTCCGACGATCATTCCCAGCAGAAAAAGCCTCACCCGCCAACGCACCCTCGCACAGGCCGAAATCGACCTGAGCCCCACACCCCTTCCCCTCACGACAGCACCGACGTCGCCTACCACCCCAGCGGCATGAAGCTACCGGACCTGCCCGAGTCGCTGAGTGCGCGGCGCATGCGCTCACACTTCCCGCCAACCGTGCTCGCGCTCTACGACAACAACTATGGCCTGTTCCTGATCGCGACGAGCATGCTGTTCTTCGCGGCCATGTCCCTCTCCGTCAAGTATCTGATGGAGACGACAGGAATGAGCACCCTCACCCTCATCCTGGTCCGCATGGGCATCACGGGCATGTGTTGCTGGGCGGTGCTGTGGGGTGTGCAGCGCGACCCGCATCCGATCCTCGGCCCGCCGGACATCAGGCGTCTGCTCCTGCTGCGTGGACTGTGCGGCTTCTCGGGTCTGCTTTGCGCGTACCAAGCCTTCCGCTACCTCTCAGTCAGCGACACGGTCACGATCCAGTTCCTCCAGCCGACTGTTACTGGACTGCTCGGGTGGCTCCTCCTGAAGGAGCCCTTCACGCTCCGCGAAGCTACAGCCGGCATTGTGTCCCTGTGCGGAGTCGTGCTCATCTCCAGACCGCCGTTCATCTTCGGCCACGGCTGGGGCGGACACGACACGCCAATCGAGGAGGCCGTCCCGCCCACCACTGGCGTCGAGCACGACCGCGTCCTCGGTGCAACTTGGGCGATCATCGGCGTCTTCTTCTCCAGTGGAGCATGTGAGTATTATTCCACCGAGTTGGCTGACGTTAGACCTCTCGATCCGCAAGATCGGCAAGCGTGCCAATGCACTCCACTCCATCGGATACTTCTCTCTCGGCTGCATCATTGCGTCCTCTTTGTGAGTAGCGGAGTCGGTCCGGGGTCCGGGGTCCGAGATTCCGGTCGAGCAGTCGAGCGGACGAGGCAGGTGGGCGTGTAACGCGACGCCACGATGGGCACGCCGCAGCACGCCTCGCTGTCACGTTCTCTGGAATTGTGGTTCTGGAATCACAGTTACCCGAAACCTCACCTCGACCCCGGTTTGAGGAGAAGAATATGCACGCTGACAACCCAGGGGCATCCTCTTCACGCCGGGCCAGCACTCGTGGCCGAAGGGCACTTATGACTTTGCGCTCATCATCCTCATCGGCGTGTTCGGCTTCATTGCTCAGGCGCTGCTCACCTTCGGCCTGCAACGGGAGAAGGCCGGCCGCGCAGGCCTCGCGTCCTACATGCAGATCCTGTTTGCGGTCGTGCTCGAGCTGTTCGTGTTCCACACGATCCCCAGCTTCCTCTCGTTCGTCGGCATGAGCATCATTCTGAGTGCTGCGGCTTGGGTTGCGGTGAGTACAGAGGTGGCACGCAGTGCCGCGAGTGGGCAAGAGCCCTCTGGACAGAATGCCGTCGCATCTCGAAGGAGTGATAATGGACACAGCTGACGACCAGATGGACACGCTCAAGACCGCCCCGCCCCCGAGCGTCGAGGACCCCGAGTCTGCGCCGATCTCGCGCACACCATCGCCCTCGAACACGGGCGTTAAGACGGTGCGCGGCGAATTGTATTCGTACAGCAGTGTGCCGACGTCGGACCCCGCGGTCGCGACGGGACAGACACTGCGCCTGCCCTCTCCCGCGCCTGAGGCGAGGCAACGTGCCGACTCGTCTGCGTCGCTTGCTTCGGCCACGGGGTCGGTCACGGGATCGCTGAATGGGGTCGCGCGATAGGCTGCCTTCGGCACCCGTCTCGGCGGTCTCATTTCTTTGCTTCTTGTGTTTCCTACTGTCTCTGACTCTCCTCTTCGCAGTTCCTAGACGGATCTTAGAGTATCTCTAGACCTCACCCCGCGATTGCTTCCCCTCCACCATCCCAACACTCACGCTCCAGTCCACCCCCAGTCCTCTCCCATCACATCCCAAAACGCCACCGGCCAGCCATCGCCTGTCCGCTCGACGCACCGTTTCACGCCTCCATGCTCCCCACGTCCCCGTCCCGATATCTCACGAGTTACGTTCTTGGTCTAATCATACCCATACCATATCCATCCTGTATCTTGCATGTGCCCTGCGGGGCGTCTTCATGTATTGCATGGTTTAATGACGCAATTGGTGAGACGAAGTGACTACCGATGTGACAACCGAGTGAGGCTGGATCTTGCGGATCAAACACGAGGGGCGCCGATCGGGGTCCTTGAATGATTCGGATGGGGGACCGAGCGCCCGTAGCAGAGGTATAGCTCGTGACATCACACTGTCTTCCTCGCAGATACCCTCCCACTTTGAACAGTTGCATACCTTCGGTCTGTTCCAATCAGTCGCTCTTCGTCTTCGATCACGGACGCCTTTCGCAACCAGAACCCAACAATGTCGACATCAAGATATCGACCCGAACAGAGATTGGCTCAAGGCTGGATGGCTTTCGACGTCAACTTGGTGTCGCTTCTTCCTCGGACCCCGTCCTATTGCAATGGTGTGATGTGAGGGGTGGGAGCAACCCGCCGACTCTTGCTACGCATCAGGCATACTCGGGCGACCTATAAGAGGGAAGAGGTGAGTCCCTCCCAGAGCTCATGGCCAGTGACAGGAGAATCCCTCATGCCCAGCACCTCACCACACATCTCCATCCCGCGATCCTCGCCGTCCTTCGACGTCGAGAAGCATGCCCCCGTGCACCTCCCCGCTCCTTACAACCCGCGGGCTGTCTGCACCACTCGCCAGGTGAGCTCTGCTCCCTGATCCTTGCTCCTCCATTCCTCGTCTCCGAGCTGACCGCAGCCCGCCCGCCCTTCGCGAACCCATCCCCACTCGGCCTCGTCTCCTTTGCCAACTCAACGTTTCTCATCTCGCTGATCAACGTGCAGACACGGGGCATATCGCACCCAAACATCGCAACGGGCATGGCGTTCTTCGTCGGCGGGCTTGCGCAGTTTGTGTCGGGTGTTTGCGAGCTCGCCACGGGGAACAGTTTCGGCATGACTGTATCGTGCAGCTATGGCGGGTACTGGATGAGTATCGGGCTGCTGTTCTGGTAAGTCAAGGTGAAGCTCGACTATGAAGAGCTAAGTCTTCCTGGCAGAGCTGACCTCAGGCCCTCGTCTGGCATGATGGCCGCATACGAGACGCGCGAGGAGCTGAACACCGCCCAAGGGCTGTACATGATGGTCTGGTTTGTATTCACTGTCATCATGACAATGGGCGCTGTACGCTGCTCGGTTGGACTGTTCCTCGTGTGTGAGTCACACTCATCGTTCAGCTCCTTCGCCAGTAGACGTAGCTGATACCAGTCTTCGGCCTTGCGCTCATCTACCTCCTCCTCGGCATCGGATATCTCCTCGATACGGTCGCGGTGATCAAAGCCTCAGGCTACGTCGGCATTATTACAGCATTCATCGCGTACTACACTGTCGCCGAAGTGCTGTACAAGGCGAACGGCGTCATGGCGCTCTATGTGAGACAGCGGTGGTGTCTCGCTGACCCCAGAACCCCGTCGTCATGAAGAAGCGAGAGTGAAAATGCCCTCCTGCTGACATTCAAGTGCTCCGAAGTCGTGTTAGAGTGTTGTAGCATGCATCTGTAGCAGTGTGGACGAGTGAATGTATCTTGTGTGTGTCTTGAACGTGATCGAACGGCGAGGAAGGCCGATTGCGCCACGGGCCGCGATTTGCCACCACCCCTGTCCAAATCGGGCAACCGGGTTCATGACGCAGCTAAAGTTGAAGCGCGTAGCCGCTGACAACGAGAAACACACCATCCACGCCTTCCCCCCTTCTGTCCCCTTTCTCATGCCCATCGCGCTCGACATGACCTCGCAACTCGAGAACACGTCCGCGATCGTAAGCTGCCCAAGTCAAGTCTAGCTAACAGACAGCTGGGAGAGTACATGCTGAAGGGCTGGACGCTGACGGACCTGCACTGCGACCAATGCCGGTCCACGCCGCTGATGCGCGAGCCCGCGGGGCAGGCGCAGGCGGCGGGGCGTGCTCCGATCCAGTTCTGCGCGGGCTGCGACGGACGGCCAGACGACCACCAGCAACAACAGCAGCAGCCGGAACGGCCGTCCGCCGTTCTCACACCGGAGAGCCCCTCGACGCCGCCAGCACACAATGCGGCCGTAGCCCGCGCCGACCCCGACGCTGCCGCGGATGCCATCAGCGAGCTCATGCTCAAGGGCTACTCCCTCCTCGGCACGAACTGCCCCGACCCCGCGTGTGCCGGCATCCCTCTCGTCGGATACCCGAAGCGCAACGGCGAGGCTGACGGACGCCGCCTCTGCGTCTCCTGCGGCACGCGCTACGTTGACGAGAAGGACGTCGAGTCGTCGGGATTACGCCTCAAGCAACCCCAGCAGCCCCAGCCTCAGGCGGCGTCTGCCCCGGGATCGTCTGATCATCCCCCGCCCGGTCTGCTGTTCGGCTCTGCTGCGCCCGCGCCTTCCTCGACTGATGCCGGGAGCGAGTCGCCCCGCAGCCGCATGCGCCGCGAGATGTACGAGCAGGGAGCGGCCATGAATGCCGCGTTAGAGAAGGCGCAGAAGGAAGCTGAGGAGCGACAGAAGGCGGCGGCGGACCCGCACAACCCCCAGAACGAGCAGGTCATCGGCCCGATCTCGCAGCACCACTACCCCGAGGATGAGCAGCTGGTCGGTCCCGTCACTGCGCAGCCGTGCCTCTCGAAACAACACCGCTTCGACTTCAAACCACGCCGCGACCACCAGCCACTCACGCCCGCCCTTCGTCGCAGCCGAGCATCGTGCGGATGGTGACGGCAAATTTCGAGTCGTCTTGATCAGCTCTGGCTCTGTCGCGAGCGTCAAGATCCCCCTCATTGTCGACAAGCTGAAGGCGCACAATGTCGAAGTTCAGGTCGTCGCAACGCAGGCGTCTCTGCACTTCTTCGACAAGCACGAGGTCGAGGAAGGTGGCACGAACGTGTGGACGGACGAGGACGAGTGGTCCGACTGGAAGAAGATTGGCGACCCGATCCTGCACATTGAGCTGCGGCGGTGGGCTGACCTCATCGTTGTCGTTCCTACGAGCGCGGACATGCTCGCCAAGCTTGCAGGGGGCATCTGCGACTCGCTCGCGACGTCGCTTCTCCGCGCTACACCTCAGACGACGCCAGTCATTCTCTGTCCCGCGATGAACACGGTCATGTATGAGCACCCCCTGACCTCGCGACAGGAGGCTTTCATCCGTGCCGTCCTGGGATACTACATCCTTGGTCCTCAGGCGGGCGGTAAACTCGCATGCGGCGACGTCGGTGCCGGCAAAATGACAGAGTGGACCGAGATTGCCGATGCCATCATCGCCGCCGGTGCGACATTCAGAAAGTCGGGCGGAGACAGCGCCAAGCTCGCCGCTGCTATCCGCAAGGGCACCGTTGAGGGGCTGCCCGAGCTCGAGCCGGTCGACGAGGAGCTGCTCCGTGTGGAACTCCCGCAGAAGACCATCTTCGAGGCGAGCTGGAGGCAGGCGTCGTCGACGAAGGGCGACACCCCTGCACCGGCGCGCAGCGAGGCGGCAACATCGACTCGCCGCAGGCACCACCATCACCGCCACGCCAGCACTGCGAGTGTCGACAGCAGGCGCAGCACGAGCTCGCAGCCCTCAGCGATCAGCACGCTCCTGCAGCCGCTCATCATGGTGCTGAAGTGGTGCATGTTCCCCTTCCTGTTCGCCCTGCACGTCCTCTTCACGATCTCCTCCATCGTGCTGCGTTTGTTCCAATCCTCGCCTCCGTCTCTCCCGGAACTCGAAAAGCCCGCGCCAGAGCACATCGCGCTCATTCTGGTTCCCGGCAAGGGCGACCGTCGCGAGACCGCGGAGCGCTACGTCGAGAGCGTGCGCCGCGCCGTTCAGTGGGCCGCGGACTGGGGCACTCCCGTTCTCTCCATCTGGGACGGCGAGGGATACGGTGTGCGCCACCACGGCGCGATCAGCGCGAGTCTGCTCAGCCTTCCGCCCTCCCCTCCCTCGTCTGACGACGGGGAGTATGAAATGCGCACCGTCCGGGGCGTGCGCGCCGACGGCACAGCGGACATGGGCGAGTCCTCGGTCCTCGAAACAGTGTACGTGAACACGGCCAGCGGGCCCAAGACGGTCAACGTCATCTTCCTCCCCCCCAGCGCCGGCGAGGTCATCACGCGTCTGACGCAGCGCTATGCGTCCGACGGTGTGCCGCCCGACAGCGTGACCGAGTCCCTCCTCGACAACGACATCAAGGCCGAGCTCGGCCTCCCCAGCGACCCCGACCTCGTCATCGTGCACCACCTCACGCCCCCCGGCTTCTTCCGCGGCCTCCTCCCCCGCCCCGCGCCAGAGCTGCACGGCTTCCCCGCCTGGTCCCTCCGCATCTCCGAAATCTACCACCACCCGCCCACGCTGCCGTTCTACGTCCCCTTTGTCGGCAGCTTGCTCCAGAACTCGCCCCTCGCCATCTTCCGTAAACTCGGCAACGTCTTCCCGTCCCGGGACGAGGCAGGCGTGTTGAACGAGCAGGCGTGGGAGGGCGCGCAGAACGCATGGGAGCGCGTCGAGCAGCGTCGTGGCAAGTAACCAAGCAAAAAACTAAAAGTACATAGACGCCCCGAGTAAGAGGGCATGCACATTCCCTGTTTAGATCTTTGCATGCAATCTATCAAATCTACTGATACATCTCAAACAATGCGAATGCTATCTACTGATTCAGAGTCGCGCTGGCCGCCGCGAGAGCGCGGAGAAGGCGCGCGTTCTTCGCCGCCTTGAGTTCGGCGGCGTCGTCTGCTCTCCGCTTCGTACCCTTCTTGACCTCCTTTGGCGGGCTCGGCGGCAGGGGGATGTTCTTCGCCGTGATGAGATCAGCCGCAGCGCCAGCGCGAGCGATCTCGCCAATCGCGCTGTTCGCGACCACCTCGAACTCTTCAGACACTCGGTCGAGCACGTTACTGACGGCGTCGGCTGCTTCCTCGCCCTCAAGCCACTGCTCTAGTACGAGCGACTGCGGCACGAGCGTGCCAAAGACCCAGGCACCCATCGCCTGCAGCACGGGCACGAGCGGGAGCGGCTGTCCTCGTTGCAGTGCGTGTCGCAGCGGGCCGAGCGTGAGCGCAACGTCCCGTACGCCGTACGATGAGAGATAGTCGTCGATCTCGCGCGCGACCGTCGGCAGGTCACCAGTCACCTTCGGTACGGGCTTGATCTCTGGCGGGTCGTATGTTGACTCCGGATCGACGGGAACCTCCTCGATGGCGTCCTCGATTGTCGGGGACAGCTTCCCCAGCGCTCCGAGCGCGGCAGCGAGCGCCTGAACGCCGAGCATTGCGTTACCCGGATGCCGCGCGAGCGTGTGCCGTGCAACGTTAACGACGCGCTGCCACTTCGGCTCCGTTCGGGTTACGGCGTCTGTTGTCAGCTTGCGGCAGAATCTACTAGCTTACCTTCCATCGGGATCGCGACCTGCATCTTCCGAGGGTCTTCAAGAATAAGGCCACGGACGGCCTCGGCGAAGCGGTCGTCGAGCTCCTCGGCATCCTCCAAACTGACGGCAGCGACGCTGTCGAACTGCTCAATGTTCTGCTGGATGCCCAGTCTGCCAATCACGTCGTCGAGAGTCTCATACTCCCAAGTTAGAATGAGGAGAGCTGTCCGATAACGGCCGCGCTGCTGCACAGCGCCTGCCGCCGCATCTAGACGATCGCCGGCATCGTCCTGGTTCATGGACCGCTGGATCGAGTTGATCGTGTCGAGCGGCGCTTCAAACACGTACAGCCCGGTGTTGGAAGAACCAGGCAGCTCTCCGTGTACGTCTGCGACGTTGAAAGTGAAGTCGATGCCGTTGCGGTGATACACCTCCGTGGGCGGGACGAACTTGCTCTCCAGCCAGTCGCGGGCCTGCGGTGCTGCTGGCGTACCGGCGTGCTCGGCTGAAAGAAGCACCGTCTCCCAGATCGGAGCGTCGTCGTTGGTGGGGCGCAAATGGCGAGTGACGGCCTTGGCAATCGAGTTCATGAAGCTGTGACTGGCGAAAAGCTGATCCTTTGTTTTCTCCGCCTCGTACAACTCCATGCCCATGTCGAACTGGTCCTGCGGCACAGTCTCGATATCGGCGACTGACCAGGAGGAGGACGTGGCAGTGTTGATTTGATACGAAGCAATAGAGCGTGCGAGACCCATTCCTCGGAGTCTCTTGACAGTCTCCAGGCGCTCGCGCTCCGCCTTCTCGCGCAGAGTCTGCATACGAGCCGTCCAGCTCCGCCAGTGCTCAGCGATTTCACGGGTCAGATGTCGAACACGTTGCTCGGAGTGGTACACGCTGTACGAGACCTCCTCAACGCGTTCGAGCAACATTCGCTCGAGAGTAAGGTCCGCATAGCGCTCAATCACGGCGCGCCGAGCAACCTTGGCGTCCTGGTACGCCTTTGCAGATTCCTGGACCTTTACAATCTTCTCCAGACTCGGTTTCGCCTTGTCAACAAGAGCGGAGACCACGGAAGTGATGAGCTCATCGGCCAGAATGGAGGAAGCGCCTCGGAAAAGCTGTCGAGAAGCCTTTATCCGGTCAACCTCGGGCTCTGCCCTCCGTCGACCAAGGGGCGTAACAGCTTTTGGAGGTGAGAGTGGTTTTATCGGTGTTACCGGAACTGTGGCCGGCGCAGAGCTCTTGAAGAAGCTAGGCACTGGGGTAGAAGAGACAGGCGGCGTAGGTGTGGTAGTTGGGGGAGCAGGCTTGTCGAAGAATGAGGGAATCTTTGCCGGTGCCGGTTCTTTCGCCTTTGACGGTTCAGATGGCGTGGAGGGGGTTCCGAAGTTGAACGATGGAACGGGCGGCTTCGGCGGGGCGGTGTCTGGCTTCTGGAAGAACGAGGGCACAGCGAGACCGCCAGTAGACGGCGGCTCCTTCGGCGGCGGTGGTTTTGAGACTGGAGCTGGTTCGGGGGCTGGGGTGGGTGTGGCGGTTGCGAATCCGTTCGTGGCCTTGGGACCGAAGACTGAGCCGTTCGCCGCTGGGGCTGGCGCCTTCTGGAACGCACTGCCGGAAGCGAAGGCACTGCTGGGGCCGAATGCGCTTCCGGACGAGAACGCACTGCCCTGTCCGCTACCGAAGGCAGATTTGGCTCCGGTTGAAGACGGGAAGGCGTTAGATGAGGAGGGAGCGGATGGGATTGATGGCGCTGCAGGGGTAGAAGAGTGCATCTTCTTTGGCTGGTAGACAGGAGCAGTCACGCGGAGCGAAGAGGGCGCTGAAGAAGGCACCATCCGGGCTGCGGGCTTGCCGTCCACAGATACACCACCGGCACCATTCACAACATCCGCGTACGACGCGGAGCCCTGCTTGTCCGTGATCAACTTCCATCGGCGAGTAAACGGCGCATCCTTGTTGTCTGACTGTTAGCTTCCACAGACCTCTCCACAGCCTACCATTGTAGCGGGTCGCGCGGTTAATGAGGGCACCGACGGGCTGAGCACCGTCCCTGTACACCTCAATGTTGAAACGCTCAACGACCGCTGCCGATTCGTCGTCCGGATTCTTTGAAACTGGGATGATGTCGTCCCACGCCGTGTCCTTGTCCTCTTGCTCCTCTGCTCCGATTAGGGAGTCCATCATGTCCATAAGAATCATCTTGCGTTCGACAATCTCGCCTTGCTCATTGCGTCGGATCGGGTCGCCCTTCAGTTGCGGGTACGTGCGGGTCAGCGCGCGGATAGCGCTTCGACGCATCTCCCGCAGCCGGACCTCGACCAGACAGGATAAGAGGAACGGCACGTTCGGTTGCTTCAGTAGGCGGATGAAGCGGGTGATCAAGTTGGCACCGTACTCCGAGTTCAGCTTGGAACCTTCCTTCTGCGAGTCAAAGTTGCGCTGAGCTGCCTGCCGAATCTGCCAAGCGAGCTGGACGATCGGGTGGTCTAGGATCACAGCTGGGAGCTCGGCAGTGGGAATCGATACCGACTTGTTCGCGAGGTCGAAGATCAGCATGTAAGCCCGGAACTCGGGCTCGTTCGGGCAGGGCATGTCGAGACCCGTTTCTTCTCGTCGGTCGTTGTAATGCTGACGGAGCGAGGTGAATGCACGACCGAGTTCGGCATTGTCGATGTGCATGTCAACGTTCGAGCCAGTCTCCTCCTGGAGCTCACGCAAACACAGAATGTGCCAGCGGGCAATGCGCTCGAAGCATGCAATGGCTTCTTCGTGACCCCAGGACGACTGAATGGCAAACTCTTTACGAATCGCACGAGTTCGGTCTCGAATGAAGCCCGCCGTGTATCCAAGGGCTCGTCGGGCTGTTGGCGGTGGGGGGTTTACGGCGTTCGGATTGGCCGGAGGCTGGATGTGCATGACTTCATTGATGAGGTAGTCGAGTGACCGCTGAATGTCAGCTTGGATTCGCTTGTAAACTCACAACAAGGGCAGCAGGAGTTCGCAGGTCGGAGGGAAGGATCGCAGCTTCACCGTGTCCAGCTCCAGCATCTGATCGCGAGTAAGCTGCGACGGCCTTCGCATGGTCCATTCGGCGATTCGGGAGCTGCAGTTAGCTAAATATCACTCATAGCTTACAGCTTCGAAGGGATGAATCTCCTTCGTGTACTCGCGGAACTCGGTCTCGTACTCCGAGCACATCCGCTCGCAAGTGCCGCGGAGGTCGATAGCAGCATCGAGGTCGGTCTTTCCAGACGTAATCAGGCCCTGCTCAATGAACGCCTTGCGCTCCTTGATTCGCGCCTCCTCGAGCTGTCTGTTAGCTTGACGATGGTTAGATGCACAGCTACGCACCTCCTTGTATCGGTTGCCGGGAAGGACATTGTTGAATCGGGCAGCACGCGCCGCGAGACGGCTCTTCTTGCGGAGCTCGTCATCGCCGTCGGGATCGCCGTTCATCGGGAAGGAGTGTGCGGCCGGGCCTGCCTAGCAGACTCGGCTCGCTGTCGGCTGGATGTCGAGAGGGAAGGGAGGTGCGCGACCACAACGGAACAACAAGGGGTGACTTCAGACTTCCTCGCGCGCATGTATCTCGCGCGAGAGCGAGCGTCATACACACTGGCTCATTTGGTTCCGTCCCTGAAGCGTTCATCTCGGCCGGATGGATCACGTGAGCGGCTTCGGCGATCCTACTGGCTTTTCCGGACCGTCGTCACCTACGACTCACCGAAGGTCCGACGCTGGCTAATCTCAACATACCCCTTACGATGCGGCCACCATTCACGAGAACAGCAGGCTCCCTGCTCCGCCGTCAGGCTCCGGTCGCGTCGTCTTCGCTGCTGTCGAGGCGGGCGTACGCCTCCGCTGCTGTGAGTTTTCTCCGGTTTGCCGATCACTTGCGCGATTTCTGACTCGAGCTGACTTTTCAGGCCGCCGAGGTGCCCGCGCAGGTGACGACGCTCCCGAACAAGGTGCGCGTCGCGACCGAGAACATTCCGGGACACTTCCACTCTGTGGGCGTGTATGTCGACGCTGGAAGCAGGTACGAGAGCCACAAGTCGAGCGGAACGTCGCACCTCCTCGACCGGCTAGCGTTCAAGAGCACGAACAAGCACACCGACGACGAGATGACCGTGCTCGTCGACCGGCTAGGCTCGCAGATGACGTGCTCGTCCTCGCGCGAGACGATCATGTACCAGTCTACCGTCTTCCCTCAGTCGCTGCCGCTGGCGCTTGAGCTCATGTCGTCGACTATCCTGCACCCGAACCTGCTCCCCGAGGAGCTCGAGACGCAGAAGGACGCGGCAGCGTACGAGATCCGCGAGATCTGGGCCAAGCCCGAACTCATCCTCCCCGAGATCCTGCACACTGTCGCGTTCCGGGACAACACGCTCGGCATGCCGCTTCTGTGCCCCGAGAGCCAGCTCAACGTGCTCGGCGAGAAGGAGATCCGCCAGTTCATGACGGACTGGTACCGACCCGAACGCATCGTGGTTGCGGGCGTCGGCATGCCGCACGAGGAGCTTGTTGAGCTGACGCAAAAGTTCTTTGGCGAGCTCCCCGCGCCCCCGACGACTGGTCTCCCGCCGGGAGTCAGCCCGGACTTTGCCCAGCTGGCGAGCGCCCGCGCAACCTACACTGGTGGACAGGAGTACATTCTGAAGCCAGAGGAGGAGTTTGTCCATCTCTACGTTGGCTTTGAGGGTCTCGGCGTGCACGACCCGGACATCTACGCCCTCGCGACGCTGCAGACGCTTCTCGGTGGTGGTGGCTCGTTCTCGGCCGGCGGCCCCGGAAAGGGCATGTACACGCGCCTGTACACGAACGTCCTGAACCGCTACCACGCCGTCGACTACTGCGCCGGTTTCCACCACTGCTACGCCGACAGCGGCCTGTTTGGTATTGCCATGAGCGTCTACCCCCAGTTTGCGCAGAGCGCCGCCAACGTCCTCTCCCACCAGCTCGACCTCCTCACCCGTCCCCAGAAGGGCGGCATCACGCAGATCGAGCTCTCCCGTGCCAAGAACATGCTCAAGAGCCAGCTCGTCATGGCCCTGGAGTCGCGTCTGACCGCTGTTGAGGGTAAGCTACTCAGGTCGAATCCAAGCTGACAACAGACCTCGGTCGCCAGACCCAGATTCACGGCAAAAAGGTCCCCGTCGAGGAGATGTGCGCGAAGATTGACGCGCTGACCATTGAGGTGAGTGTTGCTCGACTTGGCGGGGCTGGATCGAGCGCAATACTCGTCCAGGCAGATTGTGTACAATCTGCGTGGCGCATTCTTGCCCGCTAAGCTTTCGGACACTTGACGAGGAAGCTGACATACAGGACCTGCACCGCACAGCGACGCGCGTTCTGCGCCCGTCGTCGCGCACCGTGCCGCTGAACTACGGCCTGGGCTCCGGCGAGCCGACAATCGTCGCACAGGGCCAGGTCGAGGGACTCGGCGACGTCGCGGCGACGCTCAAGGCGTGGGGTCTCGGCCGCCAGGCGTACTAGATAGAAAAATCTTGTTGTACCAAAGGAATAGATGCAGCATTCACTTCTTAGACCAGAGTGCCACGCACTGGGCCGTGCCTCTGTTGCGTAACCTCCACTCCGGTTCTACCTGCAAGTCCGACCTCCACCTCTGAAACTGCGTGCGCCTCGCTGTTGACAGGAGTGCGCGTCTGACTTTTTCCAAACCCTTTGCGGGTGGAGGAAAGTGTCGACTTCTCAAGTCACATGACTGCGGTATTTCATGACGTCTCGCCACTACTATTTCGTTGGAAAAACGTGGTGGAGCAAGTCGACGGCTCCCCGGTGGCGGCCGACCCAGTCAGTATCTGGTCCGATACCGGTGTTCAATCGGTGCAGAGTCGGATCGGGCGAAGGCTGAAGTTGACACAGCCTAGGCCAAGACTCTGACCGTGCACGATGGCGCCCAAGTGGGCCATGGGCCAGACGAGCCAAACTACGCACGGCGCATCTGCCTGTGAACGAGATCGTGAGACATGCTTCGAACTGCGACCTGCGAGCCGAGGGCCGTTTCGGAGGTCTTCGGAGGTTAGTGGTGAGAAGAGAGTGTGCAGGGATGAGAAGCAGAAATGTGCGAGGACGGAGTACCGGTGTCAGCTCGTCAGTTGTCGATCGAGAGTGGGATGCTGTCCGCCAGACCGCCAGTTCGCCGGTGGTGGAAGCGATGACATGCGGCGTGATGCCATAATGCCATGCGAGCGGCCGAGGGAGCAAGGGACGAGATCAGATCGGCCCGTTCACCGCTGTGTCGCCTCGGCGCCGTATTACAGTCGTTGACACAGACACGTATTGAGGGCGGCACAGCACGGCATTACAGGTTTACAGATTGATGGTACTCGATTAGTGTTTCCGACGCTTCCGAGTAGGGTGACGCACGAACACACGGATTTCCAAACCATGGACTTGCGACCCGAGACCACGCCGGCCGATTGGGGATGAGAGATACCAAATCGGCAGCGTGCTGAATTAGTAATGGGACTGCCCGGAGGCGGCATTTCACGTTTCTCATGAATTCGATGTGTGAGCTTAACGCAGTACTGACGCGTCTGCCTAACGCTGGGCGCTGGGTGAGAGCTGGGAACAGGAGCAGAGGCTCTGAAGCGAGACTAGACCCAGGTTAGGAGAGTGGGCCGGCGGCAGCCCCCCCACACGGTGACATCCCGACCCTGAAACTTGCACCCGTGACCTCGGGTCCCCCCGGGGCATCCCGAACGGTCGCACAGCCGAACCGTCTCTGGCTCTCTTGGCCTCACACGCATCCTCTCTTCCCCAAGCTTCAGTCACCCGAGTCACTGCATTAGCAGAGTCACACTAGTCACGAGTTGTCTGCATTTGTTAGAGTGAACGTGCTCATTTCCCGTAGTCGAGAAATGTAACAAGAGTTATTGCCCAGAGGAGCATCGCCGCATTCGCCGATCCAAGAGACCAACAAAGCGACTGGCATACCGCCCCCTTTCCTCCCGTTTGCCCTTGCGCCTGCTCCACGCCCAGACACCGCCTGAGCCCGCCTCGCTTCACTGCAAGAAGAGACAACTGTCAAGCCGCTCGCGGGCCGCAAACAGGAACGAAAGTACACACGAGACGAGATCGGCGCTGCCCTGCTTGGGACTAGGTTGGGACCTTACTCGACCGCCCCTAAAGGCCCCTTGGCTCTCACGCCCGCCAGCGCGCCAGCCTTTCGCCTCGGCATCGGCACTCACACGTCTCCACATAAGCAAGTGGCCAGCAGAGACCGCAGGAGACGTTATTTTCGAGCCCACCAACCCTTACTCCCCCTTGCTCTTGGTCGTCATCGCCTTCCCTCTTTCTTCGCCAGCAGTAAATTTGTTCATCTTCACTTTCTTCTTGTCGTCTTGTCCTTCTGGTTCGACTACGCGTTGACCACCCACACCCGCTCGCACGACAACTCGCCCTTCGCCCCTGTCAACAAGAGGGCTTAGCGCGAACTCCCCTCTTGAATCGCCCAAGCCGCGCAATTCGAACGCGGCCTTCTAAATCAACCATGCACCCCTCGTCAAGTCTGGCGCCACGCATCTCCAGCCTGATCGCGCGCGCTACGCGGATCAGCCCCCGCCAACCGGCGCTCGCGGCAAAGGTCTTCGTTGTCGAGGTGAGTAAAGGGGTTGGCCAGGTGCCTGCCCCCCACTCTTCCAACACTGTAGTGGCGGATGGCGGACCGAGCCTCCACATCATCCTCGCGCCCGCACTTCCTTTTCGACTTTCCGATCGAAAAGAAAGATGCATCGGGGATATGGATGCGGGCATCCACGGCACAACCAGCTCGAAAAGTCATGGACGACATAGCTGACACCACAGCACTCGGAAACACACAACGACCGGCCGAAACGCTTCACCCTCTGGTCTACCTCGAGGCGTGAGGGGCGGTTGCCGGCCCCAAACGTCGAGTGGAACGACCATCTGCGTATGGTGTGACAACCCAGACATAGACCTCTTTCGTCTTGTTTCTCGCCTCGTCTCGCTCGAGTCGTACCCTTTAGACAGTCTCCTCTCGTCTTCGTTTACATCTTCTTCTCCTCGCAGAATACACAAGAGACAGAAGTTACAGAGCCCCCCTCAGAAGTCAACTGAAAACCAAAGTAATCGTTACCTATCATTGTATATACACCCCCACGAAACCTCGCCAGGACACAACCCCCTAAGAGCTGTACTTGTTCATGTCAATTTGATACATTATCGCTGTCCGGTCCGCGAGAGCCGCGGTGCAAAGAAACTACTACAAATTAACAGACACCGGTTTACACTTGGCGTTCTACTGGAATGCCTCTCATCGCCGCCTGGGTGTCGGCAGGTTGACGACTGGTGATTCTGGTGCTCCAAACATGGGAGCGCATTACTTCTCTCCTCCCCTCCTACTCCTACTCCATTCTCCCATTCTCGGCTCAAACTCCCCTCCAACCTGGAACTTGACGCCCAAATAGACGCCTAGTAGTCATCATAGTTGTCGTCTTCGCCTGGAGTCGCGTCTGACCGCTGTTGAGGGTAAGCTACTCAGGTCGAATCCAAGCTGACAACAGACCTCGGTCGCCAGACCCAGATTCACGGCAAAAAGGTCCCCGTCGAGGAGATGTGCGCGAAGATTGACGCGCTGACCATTGAGGTGAGTGTTGCTCGACTTGGCGGGGCTGGATCGAGCGCAATACTGCTCCGGGCTTGGCTCGCGCTTGCCCCAAGTGCCAATGGCAGGCAGCGAGTCGGGGGCGGGCACCTCGTCCTTCTTGCTGTCCTTTGCGGCCGCGCCGCGCCGCCGGCCGGGCGTGTCGGCCGTCGACTTGCGCCGCGTCGCGGTCGCCTTGGGCTCGACGGGGTCGGGGATGCCCTCGACCAGCTCGCGGAGGAAGTCGAACTGGTCAGACTTGTCGATCATTGCTTTCCTGTTTGTCAGCTTAAGACCGTGAGGAGCAGCAGCTGAAGGGCGGGGCGTAAAGAGCACGAGGTGTCGAGAGAAACAAGGGGGCAAGGGGCGATCACGCCGATCAAGGAGGTCCAGTCACCCGCCAAACATCCAGTCACCTTGACCGGGTCGGGTGGCAAGGAAGCCATCCCCAAGGTCCCTTCCCTCACGAACCAGACCTCCAACTCCTGTGACCCCGTCGCCAGTCGCTTACTCACAAGTGGTACGGCACCATCTTGCGCGATCCGCGTTCCCGCGCCTCCTTGGCCGTCTCATCGATAAGGAGCTGGAGGAAACACTCGAGCGACTTGGCTGCCTGTTAGCTCCAACGGCGATCTGGGAGCTTACAGATCATAACGGGCGTCGCGCTCGCGAGCTTGCCGACCTCCTCGTCCATCTGCATGATCTTCTTTATCCTCGCCTGTGATGTCAGCTTAGTGCAGTCACTTGCGAAGCTGTGGCGTGCGCTCCGGGTTGCACCGTTCGCCTTCTGTGTCCGACAGCCCGCCAACTGTCCTTTCCCACAGAACGGGGGTCTTCCTTTCGTTCTTTCCAAACTACGTCGAAGCCCACCCAGGTCCTTCTCCGTGTTCCAAACATGCCAACGGGACGCCTTTGTTCCAAACATTCAAACGTCTCGCACGCAGCTCGATACTCACGACAGGAAACTGCATGTCAGCTGGAACCGGGGCATAGGACAACTCACGCGTGACGTCTTTGATCTTTTGTTAACTTTCGGTGGCATTGTGTCTGCGGGTTGTGCGGTGTGGATTGTTGTTGCAGGTTTGTTGTAACGCGGGGCGAGGCAGCCGATGACGCTTGATATATGTCTCTGTACCGCAGGAAGGTTCAAGTTGGAGGAAACATTGCGCGCAGGGGGACCCTGAGCTCGAGACTGAGGAGCGAGGTGCTTACCACGTGAGGCCAGATCACGTGCTTTACTTATCGGCTTTCCTTAATGTGAGGTTAGTGTCCAAGTTGTAATCTCCATCCTAATGTCGAGTTTAGCCCGATGAATAGGCTCGCGGCTGATCTCCGGTTCAGTTGACGCTAGGGTGGAGGATGATCCGATGATTTTAGTCCCGTACCTCCCTAATTTTGGACGCCGCGTCCTTTTCAGCGCGTCGATGACTGGTCAGGCCGGGGCTGGCTGTCGCAGCGCGCAGGCGCCGCGCAGATGCGCCCATCGGGTGTCTCGTCTATGCGTCTGCCCTGGCTCGATCCCCTATTCCCTATCGTTCGATTCACCTCCGGCCACGCGCGGTACACTTGTATTTTGCTGGACCCGTGATCGCGATATCTATATCTCTCGTTGTTGTCACTCACCTTACTCCTAACGATCACCATGGCCGACAAAGCTGCTGCCAAGGCTGCCGCCCGCGCCAAGTTTGAGGGCGTCTTCGACACCATCGCCGATGAGCTCCTCGCCTACCTCAAGGGCGAGGGCATGCCTGCCGACGCCATCGAGTGGTACAAGAAGGTTGGTACATGAAACGGCTGGAAAATATCGTTATGTGCAGAGATCCTTCGGACGACTTGCGATGACAGTCGCTGACGCACAGAACCTCTACCACAACGTTCCCGGCGGAAAGCTGAACCGTGGTCTTTCGGTCGTCGACACCCTCGAGATCCTCAAGGGCTCGGCCCTCACCGACGACGAGTACTTCCAGGCCGCGCTCCTCGGCTGGTGCATCGAGCTCGTGAGTTTCCGTGCTACGCACTCGTCCAATCTGACAATGCCAGCTCCAGGGCTTCTTCCTCGTCTCTGACGACCTCATGGACGCCTCGATCACCCGCCGTGGCCAGCCGTGTTGGTACCGCATGCCCGGTATCGGCAACATTGCGATCAACGACTCGTTCATGCTCGAGGCCGCGATCTACTACCTGCTGAAGAAGCACTTCCGCCAGCAGCCGTACTACGTCGACCTGCTCGAGCTCTTCCTCGAGACGACGTTCCAGACCGAGCTCGGCCAGCTGATCGACCTGATCACTGCGCCCGAGGACGACGTCGACCTGTCCAAGTTCTCGCTCGAGAAGCACCACCTCATCGTCGTGTACAAGACGGCGTACTACTCCTTCTACCTCCCCGCCGCCCTCGCCATGCGCGTCCACGGCATCAAGGACGAGGCCGCGTACAAGGCTGCCCTCGACATCCTCCTCCCCATGGGCGAGTACTTCCAGGTCCAGGACGACTACCTCGACGCCTACGCCCCGCCCGAGGTCCTCGGCAAGATCGGCACCGACATTCTCGACAACAAGTGCTCGTGGAACGTCAACACGGCCCTCAAGCACGCTACCCCCGAGCAGCGCCAGATCCTCGACAAGTACTACGGCAACAAGAATGACAAGGAGGCCGAGGCCGAGGTCAAGAAGATCTTCTCGTCCGACAATGTCGACATCCCCGGCCGCTTCGAGAAGTACGAGGCTGAGAGCTACGACAAGCTCAACAAGCTCATCGACCAGATCGACGAGGACAAGACCGGCCTCAAGAAGCAGGTCTTCACCTCCTTCCTCGAGAAGGTCTACAAGCGCCAGAAGTAAAGCGCTCCTGTCATCTTACACGAAATCTTAATTTCTTGGGATCTCCACGCATGCATCTAGCATATCTATAGATTAAGCCAAAGTCGCATAGTCCATGAGATCGGTGGTTGGTACAAGATACTATTACAACAAGAGACTAAAAGCTGACAAGCGGAAGGAGCTTCGGTGCGGGCGTCGGACTGCGAGGTGAAGGTGACGGAGAACCCTCGCGCTCGGACTGGTCATGGACGCGCGACTGCGGCGTGGAAGCAGGCGTGAGCGGCGTAAACACTCTTTGCTTCTTCGTCGGCGTCGTTTGGTCCACGACAGCCTTCCGCTTCTTTGTCGGGGTGACAGACTCCGGTGTAGGGAGGTGCGACTTTGACGGGCGCGGCTTCTTAGGCGTCACTGGCGGGGCAAACTCTTTGTTCTCGACGAGCGTGGCAAATTCTTGCACGTCGCCTTGCACCCACACATCAAAGATCCCATCCCATTCCCCAGGCTTCGCTGGCGGTTCATTGTTAATGAACACGGTCCGGATCGGGGGCGCCTTGCCGTCTCGGACCGAAGAATCCGGACGCGCCTCCAAGGTCTTGGCCATCTCCTTCACTATCCGCTTGACGCCCGGAATCGCGAGCGTCGTACCAGCAACAAGGAGCAGATCAACCTTGCCTTCCCTCTCCCCCTTTCGACCCGTGCCCCGCAGATCGCGCCCGACGACAGATCCGATCAGCTCGCCTTCGGGATGTTCCTCGCCATACAAAACGACGTCCGCACGCAAGGCTCCGACTCGGCGCTGTCGCTCTGATAAAGCCGACCGGATCGATGCCGACAGATCGCACGTCGGGCACGGGATAGTCGATGGTGGAAGCGGGAGATGGTCGTCGATGGGGACAAAGGTGGAGCACAGGGAACATCGAAGCTTGCTGAGGAGTCCGTGCAACGGGATGCACCTGGGTGCAGGCGGGAACGACGGGGGTGACGATGGCGTCGCTTCGCCCGAAACCGGTGTCTCCTCTGGCGTCTGCGTTCCAGATGCGGATGAGACTTGACCCGAGGCTCGAGTGGCTTTGGCCTTTCGCTTCCCTCGATTCGACGATCGCTGCGGCAGCCCTGTCGGGAGCCCCACGCGCTGCTCCAATCCGTCGATGTTCTGCGTGTAGCACCGGAGCAGACGCCCATCCCCGTCCAGGCTGGCGAGAAGGACGTGAAACGCAGTGGGGCTGGCACGGTTCGCGCGCTCGCACAAATCGGTCAAGAGCGCATGGTGTTTCGCCAACAACGCCGGGGACTAACACGTCAGCACGCTGCTCTTCCCAGGTTATGCCATCATCACGTACCGTCAAGCTCTTGACGTGGAACAGATCCTTGACACCGGTGCCCTTGGACCCCGAGAATAGCCCCTTTGAGGAGCGGAAGTCGGGTATAGCTGCTGCCGTCGAGACGCCGGCGCCAGCAACGGCGACGATGCGGCGAGCGCCCCGCACTCGTCTCACAACATCCTCTAATGATGGACCTTCTGGATCGATATCAGCGAAGCGAGTCGGGGCGCGCGAAGGACCGGCTTCGGAGCAGTCGGAGTGGGGCGACAGCAGGCGGACTAGGGAAGTCATGGTGGCGAAAAGCGATGGGTAGCGCCTGGGGACAAGAGAGCGGGGAGACAGAAGACAGATCCCACTCTATCTATAGTCGGCGCTCAGACGATGATGTACACGTATTCGTAGACAATAATGTGTAATGGTGACAAGCGTAGAGATGCAGAGAATAGAGAAGGAAGAGCAGAAAGACAGAAGACAGACGCGCGCCATCGCACTACCCTGGAAAGCGCATGTACCCAGGGGATAGGCCTGTGTGGCTGGTCGTCCAGGCGTGCTAGCACGTGGGCGGATTCTCACTCCACTCCCACCGTCAGTGGCAGCGACCACATCACTTCGACTGTCTTCGTCAAGTGCCTCCCGATGCCATTATCTTCATTACATAGTTACACATTGTCTATGTTATAGCTTTTAGATCTTCTTCTTCTCCTTGTCCCAGTCCTGCTGAAGCTGCTTCGCGTCCGAAGCAATCTTGTCCGACTTCTGGTCCGCCTGGGCCTTCACCTGGTAGGCCTTGTCCCTAACCTCCTGCTTAACCTCGGCGGCCTTCTCACGAACGTCCTGCTTGACCTCGCCGCGGTTCTGCCAGAGGTAGACACCGAGGCCGACGGCGGCAATAGCGGCGACGATCTTGCCGACGCTCTTAGCGTTGTCCTCCTTCTGGATGGACTTGGCAGCACCAGCGGGGTCGGCGAGAGCCTCGCCGAGGAGGTTCTTCGTGTTCTCGTAGTCCTTGGCGAGCTTGAAGGCTCCAGACCTGCCGCCAGACTTGAGGACGTTCTCAAAGTCCTTGGCGGTCTGGTTGATGCTGTTGGTGACGGCCTGGTTGACCTTGGCGCCGGCGGAGCCGATCTTGGCCTGTCCCTCGGGGGTCTGCGCGTTCAGGAAGGTCTCGAGCTCCTTGGCAAAGTTCTGCGACTGCTTGTGGAACTCGTCGCGGGCCTTGCGGATCTGGTCGTTGGAGGCACCAAGGAGCTTGGCAATGCCGGTGCCGACCTGGTCGGTACCCTTCTCAAGGTCCTTGAGGAAGTCCTGCTGGGCACCCTTGTCGCCCTGGAGCGAACGCTGGAGGTCGCTGAGAAGGGTGTTGACGGCAGACTCGTAGTTCTTGCCAACCTTCTTGATGTCGCTGGGCGAAACGTTGAGAGCCTGAGCGAGCTGGTTGGTCATCTTGTCGCTCATCTGGGCGAGGTTCTGCTGAGCCTGCTTCTGCTGGTCGGGCGAGCCGAACGCAGCCATGGCGAGGTTCTGCGTGAGCTCGTTGGTGGCCTTGAGGGCATCCTGGTCCGCCTGAGCGAGGGCCTTGGCCAGGTCCTCGGGCTTGGGGGGCTGCTTCTGGGTGTCGTTCCGGAGAGCCGAGGCGGTGAATCCGCGCTGGGCGGCGACGCGAGACACCTGGGCGGTGCGGACGGCACGGGCGGACCTGTCAAGTCAGCTCACTATCAAGCACGCAGTAGCAATGCGCTCGTGCTCACTGGATGGCGGTGTTGCGGAACATTGTGTGTGGGTTACAGATGCATTTTCAACATGAAGCAGTCTTTATATCCCAGGCTGCATCGGTCTCCCAGGCGGCCGACGTCAGTAGGCGTCATTGCTCACCCATCTTCCCACCCAGATGCGGCTACCTAGAAGATCCGTTCTGCAGTTGGCAGGTCAGCGTGGTCTAGTAGTTTCCATGTGCCTTGATTCCGCGAACCGTATCGCGTTGTTGCTGCACGGCGACAGGCTGCCAGGCTGAAACAATGTTCCGATCGAGGCCATAGAGGGACCGATAACCGAGATGAATGACGCAACAATGCTGCAGACCGAGCAACCACCCTGTAGCTGCTATAAATCTGGATCAATCGGGTTCCCGAAATCGCATCCAGGAGGTGGCTGTCGGCGCCGCATGCGCCGCAATCCCCGGCAGTGTCGGTGCTTAGGTGCACCACACTCGCTAGCAAGAGGGTATGCGGAGATACGCTGAGTAGTGGTGGTGTAAGGAGACTTTGCTATACCGCCGAATTAAGCTGGCGGATGTGCGATGGTCGCTGCGTCCTGTGCCGCCGTAGTAGCAGGAGTTGCTCCGACGCACATCCGCCAGCGGCGAAGCGGGACCATCTAAAAATGAGGCCCACATCACCCTAGAGACCGAGGATTACGACCGACTTTCTCTGCCAATTGGATGAAGAGATTGTGGAGAGGGGCGTGACGACGATCAGAGCCCCGGCCTGTGGTCTCTTCGCTAAACCACCGTACTGGAAGGGATCATATCGTCATACGGTCATGCGAGCACAAAATGCGATAAGATGGCTAGGCGCAAGGGACAAACAACAACATAATACATATGTGACAAGGATATATATTAGCCGGGACCGATCTGGGGGTTAGTTAATGATCACACATGGTACTCACGCGAGGCATGTCGTGGTGCTCGCTCAAGCGCTCGAGTTTCGAGTTGTAATCGTTGAGTCGATCCTTGTGAGTCTGGTGCGCCGTTTTCCGGGCCCTCTCCTCGCGCTGTGGTTAGCAAGCGAAGATGACGTTGGAGCTTACCCTCTTCCGCTGCACCTCCTCGTAACGAAGCTCAGCTGCTGTCTTTCTCGGACCGCTCGGAGGCGGAGCGGGGCTAGCGCTTGCACTGGTCGGCGCAGCACTTGACCTCCGGCTGTCCCGATCCTTCGAATCCTCCCGGACTTCGCGGTCTCTAGCGCTGTCCTTCTTGGACGAGTGCTCGCGTTTGGTCTCGATCGCGGCGCCCTCAGCCGCTAGCGAGGAAGAGGAGTGCGATTTCTTCTTCTTCTTCTTCCTGAAACAAGTCAGCTTGAAAGCTGTGGGCAGCTACACTCACTTGCCATCGTCGCCCTTGAACTTGAGCGCACCACCAGGGCGATGCACCGTGTAGTCGCTCATGATGGGCTATGGGCTGGCGGCGAAGCACAAGAGGTACGAAAACAACGCCGAAATGACCTCAGCGGCAGTCGGCGGAGGTGGATTATCAAGCCACGTGGCCACACGTATTTTTCTCGGCTTGCCACCTGAAAGTTGGGACATTGAGCCGAAAGCACTTGGCCGCACTTACGAGTTGCACCTTTGCCTTTATTTACATCGAAAATGAGCTCTTCCCAGCAGGCCAACGTCCCCCAGCTCGACGCCGCTTCTCAGGTGCGTTCGAGACCCGTCATTTTTTGCTAACGACAGGCCGAGCTTCGCGAGTTCATCGCCCAGGAGGAGGCCAAGGCCAAGGTCCAGGCCAGCGTTCACGAGCTCACCGACCGATGTGAGTGATTTGCAGGGCGTCATCACAGTGGACACAGCGGAGTTGTGGTTTGTTGCTGTGTCGTGACCCTCGCTTTGAAGTTCGAGTGATCGTTAGCTGACGTCAGGCTGGAAGACTTGCATGACCGGCAGCATCAGCGCCAAGTTCTCCAAGTGAGTTCAACAGTGACTAGTTCGAGCTAACGAAAAGGTCTGAGGCCGCGTGCATCGAGAACTGCGTTGACCGTTTCCTCGACACCTCGCTGTACATTGTCCAGCAGATCGAGCTGCAGAGGAACCAGCTTTAAGAAGTGGACGATAAAAGTCAATCTAGCATCGACATCTGATTGTGATATAACGCAATGCATGTATCAGCATCTCTCATGAATCACAGATATACATTCTACAGGGGTCTAATTCTAAATGCAGAGGAGGTATGGATGATGTGGGTGATAATAATCGTTTCACTCGACGACGATTGTTCGGCCAACGGGAAGTGTGCAGAAGGCCTCCTCGCTAACGCCAAGCTTCTTGCGCGCAATATCAAGATCAATGGGAGGCATGTTGTCTGTTATCAGCGCACACACTCGGGCTACACTCACAGGCTTCGTCAGACATGATCCAGGTACCCCAGTGGACGCCGACACTCTTCTTGACACCCATATTGAGCGCCATACGGACGGCTCCCTCCGGGTCGGTGTGCTGCAGGTGCATGTGCCATCTGGGCTCGTAGGACCCGATGGGAATCGCAGCAAGGTCGATCGGGCCCAGAACTCGACCGACTGCGGCAAATAGTGTTTCGGAGTATCCGGTGTCGCCCATGTGGATGAATGATCGCTTGTTGTCGTCCGACTTGACGTGGAAGCCCGCCCAGAGCGTGGCGTTTGTGTCGGCGGGACTGCGTGCAGACCAGTGCATGACAGGGACGCAGGTGATCGTGTACGTCTTATCCTTCTGACCGGGGCGCTGCAGCTTGTGCTTCTTCTCCTGCCACCAGCTGCATGTCAGTGCGGACTTCTAGGGCTGACTCACTCCAACTCAGTGACGCGAGTGACGCCAAGCTGTCGTAGGTAGTTTCCGGCTCCGGCAGGCACAACCCACTCGCAACTGTCCCCATACTCGCGGACAGCTTCCGGGTCAAGGTGGTCGTAGTGGCTGAGAGTTAGTACAATAAAGGAATAGCCTCACTTGTGCGAAACGAGAACAAGGTCGACGCGCTTCAGATCCTCGTAGTTGCAGGGAGGAGGACGGAGACGCTCGGGAGCCAGAGAAGAAGGAATAGTACGATGTTGAAGAGCAGGGTCGGTCAGAATAGCCAGCTTATCCAGAGTAACAAAGTTCGTCGACTGTCCCATCTGGTGGTGTCAGCGAAGAAACACTGCAAATACACACCCAAGTCATGGTCAGCTTGTCCGTAACGTCAACATCGGCGCCACCGATCGTTGTCCTGACGCCGGCGCCATTCGTGGGTGCCGGAGGGGCGTTCTTTCAAACAGAGTCGTGAAGTCCGGTTCCTCAACAGGCAAATCGGGAATTGGGGTTTCCTTGGGGAGGTCACTACCGTTAGCAGAGCAATGAAATGCGTACCACACCCATCGAAGAAGAAGAGTTTTCCGTTTAACGTAGACAAGATTAGTTTCCACCAAGCCCATTCCTGCGGCGTCAGTAACTTCCAAGGGCTGATGGACTAACCCAGGCACCTTGCTCGCGCCACTCGGGGAACAGGTTCCAGTATCGGCCAGCACGCTTAAAGCTGGCAAAGCTGTCTCGTCAACTACTGTCGCCACACCCACAGTACACTTACCGCTTCTTGAGTGCCTCCTTCTCCTCCTCAGTCGCGATAGGAGAGACGCCAGCGCCCGGAATGTCCGCTAGCGCCTTTTCAAGCTCGCGGTTTCGGCTCCTGATGTTGGCGCGTCGGATGGTATCGGTGTACGCTGATGGCGTTAATGCATGCAAACGCGTCCAGAAAGCTCACCATAGTAGCCGAGCCATGCTCCCGTCCAGGCCAACGGGATGACAACGGCTGCACGCCGCAGAGCTTGCAGCATTTCGTGAAGGTGTGGGTGGATACAGGAGAGTTCGCGCTCCGTTCCCGAAATTGTTTATGAAAAGCACGTGTTTCCGGCACGGGCTGCTCCGTCGGCTGTGCGCGGATTACGGAGGTCGATATAGCGTGTGCGTCTGATCGCGTCCAAAAGTTCTGAGCTATCGTTGTTGTCCAGTCGTCCTCGAACACACAACCCACACACAGTCTTTTCGCACAATTGGCCAGCAGAGGAGGAGCCTGCAAAGCCAGATTAAATGGCAACGAGCGGCGCGACATACACCCCACGCTAGCAGCAGCCGCATTCCGATCGTCACTTGGTCTCACATCCCGTCACTCCTCGTTACACCGCACGTTCGACATGTCACAACAGCGTCGTTATCCGTCGCTGGCAGACGAATTGCTCCCTGTTCCTGCAGTTTCGCCCTATGGCAGCAACGACGCCCTCGCCACTGTCGGGCGAAGAATCGCATCGGTCGCCGTGATCTCCGTTTTCCTGGTCATCGTCGTGTTCATGCTCCTGAACCCTCACGAGGAGAACAGAAACTTCCGCGACCTCCGAAGAACGTTCTATGATGTGAAAGACCGCTTTCGCATCTCCGTCGACTAGAGCGTTTAGTCTCTTTCATTCCCGGTGGGGTTGTGAGGACACCAGCATATCAGCATGTCAAGGATTTGCGAACGTGCTGCGCTAGGACTCAGGGCACGTGGTTGTATACGACTGGCGCCTGTTGCCTCACTCGCTCATCGTCTCCGAACACGTCGTTGAGCTCCGCGTCGTTGAGCTCCGAAGCCACCATCGGTTGACCTGATCGCGGGCGGCAGTCGGACTGTTATCGACTGTACGAGGGTTTAAAGGATCACAGATGTGGGGCGGTGCTACTCGGCTTTGGCGTACCGCACCCTCTCGAGCAGTGTCTTCTCGGACTGCGCGGATCAACCTCTTTGACTCGACAAACCGACGACCACAGCGGGCAAGCGATACTCGAAGCCGCAAAAGACTTGAAACTTCAACTGGCGGTGCGGAGCGGCTGTGCCGTCCTAAGCCGCCGCTCATCATCCTCGGAAAGCGATGTTCACTGTATCAATAAACCTGACGTTGTATCATCGGTCTCCCCGCGCAACAGTGGTGCCAGGGGTGAGAAATGCATAATGCCGCCGCCTATGACGGCTTGTGATATAGTCGCCGAACGTGTCTCTCTAATGTGATCGTCTTCCTTACAGCTCCTCCTCGGCAGCAACGCCCAGCATGCCCTTCACGCCATCCCACAGCTTCTCGTCTCCCTGTTTCCTCAGGCGGTCCTCGATCTCCTCGACGTTCAGCCAAGCCCACGAGCTGATACCGGACTCCTTAGTAGGCTTAGGCTCGCCGGCAAGGATGTGTGAGCGCAGGAAGAAGTTCTGGAGTGTTAGCTGGTGCACCCACATCGTCGTTATAGACTTACGCGCTTGTCACCATCACGAACAACACCGATAGGCTTGCGGGTGACGAGCCAAGTGTCCATGGTCTTGCCGTCAAGGCTTCCCTCCGTTCCAGTAATACGCGAGATGGCCTCGTCAAGCGCCTCGCCCTGCTTCATGTCCTGTCCGGGGAAAGCCCACTTGCCCTTGCTCTGAACAAGAAGGTAGACTTCCTCCTCCGGACGACGCTCTAAGCTCTTCTCTCCCCGGGCGGCGTCCTCCTTCGCCCAGTGGTCACGCGGGACGTCATCGTGCGCAGGCTCGGGGGGCACATCACCAATCTTGGGCGCAGGTCCAGCGAGCTTGTCACCGTACCACTGACGCTCCATCTCGTGCTCCGATCCCTGGAAACGACGGAGAGACAGCGAACCCGACTTGAAGTAGAAGTCGGTCGGGACAGGGTTCGAAAGAGCATGCCTGATCTTGAAGTTGCGCTCGTAGTAGGCCTTCTCGAACGGGTGCAGGGAGGGGGTGAGGAGAGGGTTACGCGAAAGGAGAAGCGACGCGGAAAGGACCGGCGCACCGGCAACCGAGGACGACGTCGAAAAGCCGCGAACGAGGGCTACGATGAGCAAACTGCACAAATCCTAGTCTCACCTTGCCTCGAGGGTCCGGAAGCCGATAACGTGAACGACATGTCGCTGAGCTGGTATCACGAGAGCGCCAAGTGAGATGTCTTTCAAAGTTCAGGTGCAGGTGATTTTGGATTTTCGGACATGGTAAAAATCTGTTACGTAAACACACATGTTGATTTTGGCCACCGCCATTCCGCAATGACCTACAAAGATTTCGCGTGTTGTTGTTGCTGCAGTGGACGAGGAATCGACCGTTCACATACACTTGCATCACACCGACGGCCCTTATACCCATAACCCCAGATTCGACTTTGCTTTCGACGGCTCGTTCCCGCTTCCAGACTGTGGTGTGGTAACATTGGCTATTCAACGCCTGTCGATACCATCTTCAGAACGGATACGCTCGACTTACTACTGCGACATCCCGGCATCGGTGCGACTTCTGACCGACTGCATTGAGGCAACATCGACCGCTTCAGATCCCGAACCTGTACAAATCTGAACACGTTTGGGCTGTCCCATTCTCGTCCTGTCCACCCGTGCAATCTTTTCTGCGACAATGGCATCTGGCAACGGATCGAAGAGCAAGGGAAAGAAGGCGGCTTCTTCGAGCAAACCGTCCAGCAAGCCGTCCTCCCGTGCGCAGTCGGAGGGGTCTCCATCGGCCCCGGGTCCGGTGCCGAACCCCTCCACTGACTTTGCCGGGTTTGTTGACAATATGACCAAGGCGCTAGAGGCCAGCACATCGGCTGCAGCTGGGTTCCCGGATAAGTCTGATCTAGCTTTCCATCGTACGCTCGATAGGAAGTTTGCCAAGGGGCTGGACGCCACCGGTCAACGTGTGCTCGACCTTACCGATAGGCTGTTGCAGCTGGCTGTTGAGGGATCGCAGGAGAAGACCAAGGCTGCCGGAGGAAAAGTCAAGCCGAGAAGAAAGGTTACGGACGAGGATGACGTCGTGGACAGCTTCCAGGCAACGGTCATCGAGTTCATCGATGCACTCTTGGAGGACGCTGTAGGTAGCGGTTGTAGGACATTGCTGACACTGAAGGACTCGAACCTGGACGAGGTCAACGGAAAGAAGCAGAAGGCTGCCATTGATATCAAGCCGTCTCTTGCCGCCAAGGCTGGGCAGAAGCTACCTGGTCCCTTCTCGCAGACGTCTCAGGCCAGACTACCAACGCATCTTTTCAATGCTCCGGGTATCGCCAAACCTCAGCTGTTGTTTCAGGACGGCGTTGACAACTCCCCCGATGCTCGATGGTCGCCTACGCTTCCTGTCAAGGAGCACGCGATGGTGCCTCTCGGCCACACGATCAGCGAGGATGACTCGTGGCCTATGGGCGAAATGGACGACGACCCGAAGAAGGTCGCTGCTCGTCGTGAGAAGATTGCCAAGTTCGAGCAACACCCGTACTACTACGAAACGCGTCACCTTCCATACCCGACGTCCATGTTCACGTCGTCGACGCCTATCAGGCCGAAGTCGTTTGAGGATACGCCTTTCGAGTTCATCGACACCCCTGAGCAACTCGCCGCTCTCACTGAGACCCTGAAGAAGGCTAAGGAGATTGCCGTGGACCTGGAGCATCACAATCAACGATCGTACTATGGCTTCACCTGTCTGATGCAGATCAGCACCCGTGAGGGCGATTGGATCATCGACACCCTGGCTCTCCGGGCTGAACTTCGCGAGCACAAGCTTGGGCATGTTTTTGCGGACCCGTCCGTCGTCAAGGTCTTCCACGGTGCCGACTCCGACATCGTTTGGCTGCAGGAGGACTTTGACATCTACATTGTCAACCTGTTCGACACATATCATGCGACCAAGGTCCTAGAGTTCCCCAAGTTTTCGCTCGCTAGCTTGCTTCAGCTCTATTGTGACTTTGAACCTGACAAGCGCTACCAGATGGCGGACTGGCGCATCCGACCAATTCCAGATGAGATGATGAAGTACGCTCGTTCCGACACGCACTTCTTGCTATTCATCTACGACAATCTCCGCAATGCGCTGATTGCCCGCGCTTCGCGTACGCCTTCCCCCTCCGTCGAAGGACAGACTCCGAAGCCCAACCCCCAACGGGCCATGCGCAAGGTCTTGGACCTTTCTTCGGAAACCGCACTGAAGCTGTACCAACGAGACGGGTATGACCCCGTGAAGGGTCAGGGTATGAACGGATGGGCAAACCTTTCCAAGAAGCTCGGCAAGAAAGACGTCATGAAGGAGGAGGTTGGCTGGGTATTCAAGGCGCTTCACCAGTGGCGTGACACTCTTGCTCGTCGACTCGATGAGAGCCCCCAGTGAGTAAAATCATGCTGAAGAGTACTGACTGGTAGCTACGTCCTTTCTAACCAGGTGCTCATTCAGCTCTCGCACCTTCGTCCCAACAACGCTTCCGTCTTAGCCCGTACTTTGGTGCATCAGTCGGCAGAAGCGTATGCACGTGCGGACGAGATCGCGGAGGTCATCAAGAATGCCGCTGCAGCTTTCCGTGCGCGGAGCCCCTCGAAAAGCCCATCGAAGAGCCTGACTCCGCTTTCTGGCACGACCTCGAGAGCGCAATCCGTGGTCACTGCTACGAAGAAGTCCACGAAAGCGGCTGGACCGGTTATCGATGTGTGGGCGGGTATTGGAACCGGTGCCGGTGCGCCGTCTTCGTCCGCCTTGTTCGGTTCGACCTTGACAAAGAAGACCGCAAGCCCGTCAAAGAACTCCCAGAAAGCGTCGTCCTCGCTGTTCGGGAGCACGTTATCTACTCCAGGAGGTGGCCGTTCCTCGCGCAAGGCCTCGCCTGGCTTCAACGCTGTGCAGTCAAGCATCTTCTCCGCACTTGCGCCTGCGGTGGCGGCACCAAAGGTGGAGGTGGAGGCCCCTGGATCGTCCCTCCCCGCGCCAGAGACGGTACCGTTTGTACCGGCGGCTAATCGGAAAAATGCCACATCCGATCAGATACCCACAGCCACCACCACCAAGAAGTCCGCTCAGCCAGCCGAGACTACAGCCGAGGTGGAGGTTGCGACCTCTGCGGCCCCCAAGGCCACCGTTGACGACGACGGCATCGTTTCTGTCAAGAAGAAGAAGGCGAAGAAGCCCAAGAAGGCGTCACCGTCGCCCGTCACGGACGGTGCACCGGGGTCTGGTGATGCTAAGTCTGAGAAGAAGAAGCCGGCGAAGAAGCAGAAGGTCAAAGCGGGTGACATCCCCACGTTCAGCTATGAGAACGAGGCTAATCTGCTGGATGAGCCTGCAAAGGCCGCAACCAACCAACGCAAGGCAAAGAAGGCGAAGCACGACACTAAGGGTGATTCCAAAAAGAAGACGGGTGAGTTTCTTGATACGACTTGACAGGCAGTCGAGCTGACGCTGGTGCAGGCATTGATACGTCGGCGTTCCGTCGGCCCGCGCCCGATGCGACAGCACCCAAGAGTGGGAACCGCTCGGGAACGTTCATGTAGAGAGACGATGTCTCGAGTACGAAGTACGATGTAGGCATTTTGTAACATACATTTCACTTGACATCCACCGCCATTGAACTAAATAGCATCATTTCCATAGACGGGACGAGCATGAGTCGTGCATCCTTTAGATACCTGACACATGGATACCCTCATGATAGGGATAACGTAGTGCGTACGGGGCAGCGTGTGTGTGTGGGTGCGTATCGAGGATTGATCGTTTTTCCGAGGAGGAGCGGAGGGAGGGTGCGGCATGAAAGTCGGCGTCTACGTGGTTCAGCCAGTGATAATTGATCCGAGGAGGGGCACGGAGTGCACGGAGCGTGGGCATGCCGCTCAGGGGAATCAGGGCCAGGCAAGGGCAGACAGAATAGGATAGGTGGCCCGGTATCACTCGACCGTGCAGCCGCACCGCGCGTAACCGTATATACTCGACCCCGACACCCAATCCATCCACCCAGCCGAGCTTTGATTCCGTCCCTGGTGGTGTTTAGCGAGCCCGTAGCCCCGCAATCCAATCGGTGTCTCGCTGCCTCAACCAACTTGAACCACTACCCGATTCAGCACTCACCATTCTGCTTGTGTCTCTCATCGTCGAGCGAGACGCTGCTCAAGCTACACTCCACAGCCCTGGCTCACCGTCATGGTGACCTCTGAAGGAGCCACCGACCCCCTTGTCGACCCCTCACTCCCCACGCTCGCCTCGGCCGATCCGAATTCCACTCCCGATAACCAAAATTCAGGCGGCGGCGAGGGCGGTAAACAACAAGCCGCCACCTCCGGTTCGAAGAAGCGGAAAGACGACTCGTCAAAGGACAAGGACAAGAAACCCAAAAAGACCAGACAAACACGTATGTACTCCCTGCTGAGCGAGTTATTTCGTGCGCTTGTAGCTGATAACATCAGAATCATGTGACGGTAGGTGCACACGGTGTACGGTTATAGATACTAATCACGGATAAAGCTTGCAGGGCGAGAAAGTGAGTTTCAACAATCCATTGGCGTCCGCTAACATCACAGAGTCAAGTGCGACAGGCCACCGCCTGGAAGCGCACCAGCAGATTCACCAACCATCGATGTGTGCACACACTGCAAGCAGCTCGGCATGGCCTGTGAGTCTTCCTCCCTTCTATCATTATCGTCATTCCCTATTTCGCCGCTCCGGCTAACCCGCCAGGTACATTCAAGTACAAGCCAAAGAAACGTGGTCCTCCAAACATGTTTGTGGCTCTCATGGATCCCACTGACTCCCCAGGTATCTGAAGCGCATGCAGGCGCTGAGCCAGGCTGCTCTTAACGAGAGCATGGACATGAGCGGACGGCCTGTTTCCAAGTTTCCGGTCGAGTTACGCGACGACGTCCTCGGCGGCCCTGGTCCTGGCACCCTTGCCAATCAGAACGCCCTGCACCGCAGCGCCCTTTCCGTGCAAGGAGGCGGCCAGCCGATACCTCGTGGCCGGGATGCTGTCGAAGACTGGGGACCTGCTCTCGCCCGCACAGTGGCTGCGCACCAAAGTGGCGCCGATCCGCACGCATCAACGTCGGACCGACCCCGGTTATCACTCAGCTTCATGAGCAGTGGAGGTCCCGCCGAGGACCCTGCAGCGATGGACGCCCACCGCCGTTTGTCTGGTCCCCAGACGTCGCCCAACTACAACTCGAACTACATGATGCCGAGTAACGTGAACCCGCTCGAGGCCATCATTCCCCGTCCGCTCCTCCATCACATCATCGACCTGTACTTCGACTATGTGTACTGCCTCATACCGGCACTGCACAAGCCGACGTTCATGCGCAACCTGCATAACAGGCGGGAGGAGCAGCCGGGTCAGGAGGAATGGGTTGCGCTCGTGCTCGCTGTCGTCGAGGTGACGCTCGTCCAGATGCCGAGGAGTTTCGTCGCTCTGTCCAAGCAGGAGATCAAGACCTTGTTCGCCAACTGCAGCAGGGCAGTCAAGAGTTACCTCGACCGTGACTTCTCCCAGCTTACCATCAACCGGAACATCATCTTATACTTGTACGTCAGCCAGTCTGATCACCACTGACGTCCAGCCACTGCGTTGCAGACGATCATTCGGGCAACAGTTTGATGTGCTCGCAACTGTGGGGATCGAACTGCTTCCTGGCTATGAAGATGCGCTTGCACGAGGAGGCCAGTTACAAGGATCTCAACCCGATCGAGCGTGAGATGAGGAAGAGGGTCTTCTGGCTGCTGTATGGTGGCGACAAGACGGACGCTGCTGTGGACAACCAACCTGTTGTCTGGCACGAGGTGGACTGCAGCGACGTGACGCTGCCCTCACCACTGGATGACGAGTTCGTCACCGAGGAAGGCTACCTGCAGCCACCCGAGGGACACGAGCCTGTCCTCGCTGGGTTCTATTACATCAGCAAGCTGTTCCGCCTTCTCGGCCAGCTGCTGGACAAGAAGCGCCACGACAAGGTCAAGCCTCCGTCTGGTGTCGCTCTGCAGGTCCGCCTTAACGAGGTCGAGGAAATCTTCCATCAAGTCATGACCTTGATGGACGACTGCCCGCCAGCACTCAAAATTGACATGAACGGAACGGCTGCGTCGGCAATGGCATTGTAAGCTGACGTTGGGCAATCGTTAGCTGACCGCAGAATCGACGAGCATTGGGACGCTCAGGTCTCGGCGGATATCCGCCAGCTGCTCTTTGATCCGACCGCCAACCGCGCTATCGTCAAGGACACCTTCCTTGTCCAGCAGGCGAACATCTATGTTACGCAGCAGATGGTCCGCTACATCGCACTGCAGTACCGTGAGGAGCTTGGCATCCTGCAGGACAAGGAGTTCAGCAGTCTAGAGGGCAACCAGCCGCCAGGTGCTCCAGTTCGCCGTCGACCACCGCCACGGACGCGATTCCTGGACGAGGAGAAGCACCAGATCGCAAGCGACCTGCTGGTGATTCTGTCAAAGATTCGCATCGAGGTCATTGCGGTGAACAGCATCTCGCTCGTTGCCAAGATTCGTTTCGTGGCGAGCACCCTGCTCGATGCGCTTCAACAGCCTCAGAACAGCACGGATCCCAGGACGCTAGAGGGCAACGCGCGCGCCCAAGGTCATCTCTGTGGGTACACTTGTCTTTTGGCATAGCTGACGGTCTAGGGGACTTCCTTCGCATCCTGTCGGACGTCGAGGCGCTCATCGTCATGGACGACAACGACGGGCAGGAGTAAGAGTGGAAGCGCGGGAGGATAAGCGTTTCATATTAGAATTTTAGGTTATTTAGGATATAGACACTTTGTATCATCAACTGATTAGCGGATGTATTTCGTACCCTTGTGGATGTTGTGACGAATACGAACAGCACAACTCAACTGCACACATTACCTCAACCACAGCATGGCCAACCTCGCCCTGCCGAGTGCGTCGGTCAACTCGCCCGCGAAGAAGCGCAAGCGCGCCAAGAAGGACAAGGATGAGGAGGAGGAGATTGATGTCTCTGCCGATGACCTGGTCGCGGCCGAGGGCGAGCGGCAACGCGGCGACGGCGACGAGGATGATGACGAGGACGAGGGCGAGCAGCAGCCTCAGGCGGCGACGGGAGCCGATGTGAAGCGCGAGGCGAAGAGGCGAAGAGACGAAACCCTGTAAGTCGCAAGACGCGCGTCCAAGCTAGGGGGAGTTCGTTTGAATCGAAGCTGACATCAGGCTGCTCCGCGGCATGCTCGACGAGGAGCAGGGCAAGCGCTTCGATGCGTTCCGGTCTGCAGTTATCCCAAAGGCGGTCGTGAAGAAGGTACGTGTTCCGCTGCCGGTGTTGGTAATCGGCCATTCCGTCCTTCACGCAGCTGCTTTGGACCAAAGCTGATGCCCAGCTCAACAAGGACCTGTACGACCAGCACATCCCGAACAACCTGACGGCCGTGGTGGCGGGTATGGTCAAGATCTTTGTCGCCGATGTCGTTGAGACCGCGCGCGAGATGCAGCCGCACTCGGCTCATCCCGAGGGACCACTGCAGCCGTACCACTTCCAGCTCGCGAAGCAGCGTCTCCAGGAACGCGGTTTGCTCGGTGCGCCCGCCGGCGCGCCGCCGAGCCAGAGGAGCACGACCGGTCTCCGTGCCAGGAAGAGGCTGTTCCGTCGATGAAGCTTGGAGTTGGACCGCGTTGGAGGTGCTGCTTGTTGTATATTACACACTATTGCCCGTGCTCTGTATGCATAATGTAGCCATTGTTCTTGGTCAGCCTTCCGCGTCCTGTTCAACCATCTGGGGCCTCAACGCCAATGCATGATGCACATTTTGACTGCTTAAGAATATGCTAATCTAGAGAAACAAGAGTTGTTGGTAAAGGGGAGAAAGGTGCAATTACTTGCGGGCGATGCGCTCGCGGGCAATGTCGACCTGGCGCTGGATCATCTCACGGGCAGGGCCGCCGATGGCGTTGCGCTTCTCGACCGAGTTCTCAAAGTTGAAGACGTCCTTGATGTCCTCGGTGAAGAGGGGCGAGAGCTGCTTCCACTCGTCCATGGTGAGGTCAGAGATCTGGCGCTGCGTGGCCTCGGCGAGGGCGACGGAGCGGCCCGAGATGTGGTGCGTCTCACGGAACGGCACGCCCTTGCGGACGAGGTAGTCGGCGACGTCGGTCGCGAGGAGGTCCATGGAGAGGGCCTTGGCCATGTTGTCCTTGTTGACGGTGAGGGTGGCAATGACGCCCTCGGCGATCTGGAGCGAGGCCGAGACCGTGTCGACGGCGTCGAAGAGGGGCTCCTTGTCCTCCTGCAGGTCCTTGTTGTACGTCGACGGGATGCCCTTGAGGGACATCATGAAGCCGGCCATCTGGCCAAAGACGCGGCCCGACTTGCCACGGAGCAGCTCGCACGAGTCCGGGTTCTTCTTCTGGGGCATGATCGACGAGCCGGTCGAGTAGGCGTCGGACAGCGTGACGAAGCCAAACTCGGCAGACGAGTAGATGATGAGGTCCTCGGCGAGACGCGACATGTGGATCATCATGAGCGACGCCCACTGCAGCCACTCGACGACAAAGTCGCGGTCCGCAACGGCGTGCATCGAGTTCTCGCCGATGGACTGGAAGCCGAGCTCCTGGCGCAGCAGCTCGCGGTCGAGCTGGTACGGGTTGCCGGCGAGCGCGGCCGAGCCAAGGGGCAGGACCGAGATGCGCGGGACCATCTCGCGGAGGCGCTGGAGGTCGTTGATGAAGCTCTGCGCGTGCGAGAGCAGGACGTGCGACCAGCGCACGGGCTGAGCACGCTGCAGGTGCGTGTAGCCGGGCAGGATCGCGTCCGTCTCCTTCTCGGCGCGCGAGACCATGACCGTAAGCAGGTCAGAGAGGTACTTGTCGACCTTGGCCGTCTCGTCCATGAGCCAGATGCGCATGTCGGTCGCGACCTGGTCGTTGCGCGAGCGGCCGGTGTGGAGCTTGCCGCCAATGTCCTTGCCGACAATCTCGGAGAGGCGGCGCTCGTTGGCAGTGTGAATGTCCTCGTCGTCGGCCTGGATCGCAAACTTGTCCTCGGCCCACTCCTTCTCGACCTCCTTGAGGCCGCGGGTGATCTCCTTCTGCTCAGCCTCGTTCAGGATGCCGGCCTTGAGCAGAGCCTTGGAGAACGCAATCGAGCCCTTGACATCGGCAGCGTACATGCGCTTGTCGTACTTGAGCGACTGGTTGTACTCGTGCATCCTGCCGTCAGCGCCCGTATCATCTCCCATCATCGCCGATCACTCACAGAGGGTCGGTGGAGCCCGTGAAACGGCCGCTGCACGTTAGCTTCAACTTCGTAAACGCTTAGCTCACCCCCAGAGCTTGCGCTTGGTGAAGTCCTGCTCGGTCGACATTTTTGGGTGGATTTGGGTGTTTGTTGTTGTTGCAACAGCGACTCGAATCTTTATCGCGACTCTCCGGACGGGCATCGCGACTCACAATGTCATCGAGTTCGAAGAATTTGGTTCCGGCCCGGAGCACCGAGATCTCATTCACTACCCCCACGTGGCTCTAGAAATGTTGACTTCAAGTCCTTGAGGCAAGATTTCGTGACGTCGGTCTCAGCGCGCTGCAACAACAACACCTCCCAGCGCAATGGTCAGGTTCAAGAACCGCTACCTCCTGGCCGAGTTCTTGGACGCAGGGTCCATTTCGCCCTTCCCGGAACCGCTGGCTGAGCCGATCGAGCTCGACTCTGGCTTTGACGCCAACGACGACGACGATGAGGCCCTCGCCCGTATCCCGGAGCTGCCGTTCGCGCACCTCTCCCCACCGACGTTGCCGGATGAGGGAGCAGGACTCTACAAGGCTGTCAGACAGGTTGTTCAGCAGGTGTTCGGAGACGAGGGGTGGGGCCGTGTAGCCAGCTCTTTCAGAGGTGAGTCCTTACGTTGACGCAAACTGACATCAGTCGTGTACCACTCCCCGATCACGACACTCACGATCATCCGCATCGCGCGGCCGCACTACCGCATGATCTGGGCCGCGCTTACTCTCATCACGGAGATTGGCGGACGGCGCGTGCTTCCCCGAGTTGTGGCTGTCAGCGGCACGATCAAGAAGCTCCAGTCTGCTGCCATCGTGCACCACCGACGAGTCACCGCTGGTGCCGTCGCCATGCTCCTGCAGAAGGGCGATGAAGCGGAGAAGGCACGTGTACAGAGCAAAAGCGAGGCTGAGCGGGCAGCTCTCGGACAGCTCGAGGATTAAGCGGCGTGTTCATAGATGGTGGCTTGCATGGTAGTTTGTTGTATGAATACAGTACATGATGTGGTGCGACTACCACGTAATACGACAGAGAGCTTATTATATTTACAGTGAATGTACGCAGTCTTCGACGACCTTGAAGTGGACGGCACGCTTATCTGTCAGGCTCGTGATCTTGCCACTTGTGACCAGTCGTACGCCGCGCTCGTTACGCGCGATCTTTAGGGAATCGGCTATATCTGCGATAACTTGTGCTGCTTGTTAGCTCAGGCCGGCATATCGTGATCTTACCATAATTGCCCGAGTGACGAGTCTCGAGAGCAATCTTGGCCTCGACTTCACGCGCGACTTTCTTCAGCAGGCGGATTCTGTCATTAGCGTTGCTGCAACGAAAACTCGCTCACCTCTGTTCCCCCACCTCGTTCCTTTTCCAGAACGCCAAGATCTCGTCAGCAAGATCACCCTTCTCGAGTGACACCGTCAGGGCGGTGAGGAGTCGGGCAAGGCCGGACCTCCGGTCCGTTACTGGGCGCGCAGGCGAGGCGGCGGGTGGAGGCGTGCCATGAAGCATGTTGTGGTCGCCGGTCGAGATTCGCGTGAGCGGGGAGCTCTGAGGGACCGCGGCGCTCAGCGCTGGGCCCGGAGTCTTGAACTTGAGGCGCTCGACGCGGCTCTTCTTCCGTGGTGGTGCGGAGTTGTAGAAGGAGAACGCCGCATCGTCACCCGATAATGGTGCCACATCCTTGAACGTCTTCTCTCTCTCTCTCTGCTTGCGCTTGGCATGGCCCGGAGAACGAGGAGCACTGATAACGACAGCGCCTGAGATGCCCTGGTCAGCAATCTCATCAATCGTCGACCATTGTCGCGACGACTCGGCACGGGGCTGAGGGGGCCGAGTTCCGTTGACGTCGAGCGCTTGAAGAATTGAGGGTGCAGCGCGTCGAGGAGCAGTTCGGGGTGGCGGCAGTGTCCCCTTGCCGGCGGACGCAATAGTTGACGGGGGTGCTCCCCCTCTCGTGCCCACCTGTCCGTGCGGGGACGACGAACCGGTGAGGTCAACAATGGGAGGTGGTTCGGACTGCTCACTTGCGGGCAGTGAGCCGGGCACATCAAAGAGAGGTGTTTGGTGTGCGCGTTGGTCTTCACTGTCTCCATCGGAATCGGGGTTGTCGAAGAGAGGAGCTAAATCGTCGTCCACCTTACTGCTGACACCTGTACTACCGATGCCGCTACCCGTCGTGCCAAAAGTGGAGAAGACGCCTGTCCACTGGAGCCCAGTCTGCGGCTCATCATGCAGAGCGGCGAGCGTGCAGTCAGGGTTATCTTGCCTGGTCGTTCTCGGCGGCGAGCTGTGTTCGAGCGGCTCGAGCGGTTCTATGGGCGAGAGAGGCGCACAGTCTTCCGTGAGATGTTGGGCCGCCAAGTACACGCCCGCGCGGTTCGCGCATACGTCGCACATTCCGTCGCAATACGCCTTGACAGTATCCGGGTCCGTCTCGATAATCTCTCCGAAGTAGCGACACACGCCGATATGGCGGCACGTCGAGGTATCCTCGGCAAACTGCTGCAACTGATGTGTCAGCCCGCTTTCTACAATGATTAAGCTCACGGTTTTCAACGAGTTCAGCATTTGCCGGTTCGCGCGCTCCATGCCAGTGCTGTTTGCTTGAGACATTGCCCGTGCGGCGTCTTCTCGGGCTGAGGTCAGTGGTCATCAGCGCTCCGACGTACAGTAGAACAACACACAACGGGATCTGTGCCCATCGCGCCCGCAGCGGCCCGTCTCCTGGTAGTAGCCCTCGAAGGACTTCGGCATGTCCGCATGGACGACATATCGGACGTGCGGATGGTCGATGCCCATACCGAACGCTATGGTCGCGACAATACAGGAAATCTTGCCGTCCTTCCAGTCAACCAGCGCCCGTGACTTCTGCGCCTCCGGCATTCGCGCGTAGAAAGGTGACGCTGTGATACCGCTGTCATTCAGCTTCTCGGCGACAACGTCGCACTGCAAATTAGCCCTGCATGTGAAACGGCGCGCGCCTGTGGACCTTACTGAGTGTGTCGTGCGGCAGTAGACTATGCCGGAAATGGACCGTACGTCGATACCGTTCTTCCGATGCACCTCTTCCGCTTCCGGCTCGAATTGATGCACGAACGAAACAATTTGGTTCGCCACCTCGCTCTGTATCCGCGCTTGGCTCGAACCGCCGACATACTTCACCTGGAATTGATTAGCGCTACGACAGCCAAATCACTCACCTCATAGAATAGATTCTTTCTATTGACTGGCAATACGAACTGCGCGAGATTACCGCCATCACGCTTCATGCGTAGGGATCGGGCGATCTCACTGCGGATCTCGGCGGTGGCAGATGCAGTCACGGCCTGAGGTCAGCGTCTGCAGTTGTCTGAGCTCGCCGAGAACTACCCACAGTTTTGGGGATGTCGGGGAACTGTCGTACAAAAGCCTCCACGGACTTGTACGTCTGCTTGTCAGCCAGGATCGCGGTGTTCACGCACAGGGCGGAACGTGTTGCCCCATTCATAGAGGACGTGGGCCTCGTCGATGACGATGCGCGCAATCTGCTTCTGCTGATGCGCGGTGTTGAAGCATGCTTGGTAGTCCTTTCGACAGAGGGATTCCGGGGTTGCGTATAGAAGTCTTAGCCGAGGATGGGCGAGCTTCAGTTCGTGCTTGATCTGGTCGTCAGCTGAAAGCGATCTGGTGGGCAGCAAGGGGGGTTTCGAACAGTGTATCTGCGATACTCACGAACACGTGCTCGGCTCTCGACGTATTCTCATTAAGCGCGGCGACTGGAATTCCCTTCTCCCGCAGACTCATGACCTGCTCTGCCATGAGCGCCTTAAGTGGCGACACCACAATTGTAATGCCGTACTCGATCGTGAGGGCCGGGAGCTGGAAGCAGATGGACTTGCCAATGCCCGTCGGCGCGACGACGAGGACGTCACATCCCTTGAGGCTCATATCGCAAACTTCCTGTTGGGGATGGCGGAACTTGCTGTAACCCCAATACTTCTTGAGGATATGAAGGAGTGACGCGCCACGCTCGACGCCGCTGGGAACTCGCGTGAAGGTGCGGGGCACGAAGTTGTTGCGGGCGTGCTGGGTGCCAGACTCGCACGGGTAGACAGATGTCTGCGGTGTCGACGTCGGGAGAGGCGCGAGGGAGAAGTTGGAGTCGGTCATCGTCGGATCATGTTCGTGGGGTGGGTCGGTGGCAAGAAGTCGATAAGGCGAGAAAGGACAGTCGCGTCCGTCGTAGCCTGAACATTGCGCGGGCGGCGCGGTTTGACTTGTTTGGTTCCGCTTACCCAGGCAGGTCGTAGCTAACGCTCACCGTAGCGGGCACCGTGTAATTGCCACGCAGCCATTCGCCGATTTTCCGACCACGCTACCCTTGCCTGCCTGCACCTCCACCACCACTGAATCACCCTGGATGCTCTATGGTGGTGGGAGAAATGCTTCCGTCCAGTCCGGAGCAGCAGCGAGCGGCCGCCTGCACCATGCAGTAACGAGAGATGCAATGAACAACTGGAACACTCCTAGACACACCCACGCACCATGACCTCCGCCACTACCGCCTCCGAGACTGAGATGGCTCAGGCCCGCCTCCCCATCGGATGGAGGGACCAGTGCTCTGCGTGAGTATTTCGCCGAGCGACCGACAAGCGACGACGACGGAGCGACGAACGGAACGGCATTTCGACATGTGACGGAGTATTCGGACTCGATGCCGGCGGCACAAACATGGATGGCAACGTCGGATACAGCGTCAGGAGGATAGCCTGGATATAAGGAGAGGACGTGTGAAGGAAGGGAGCCGCGAGGACGGCGTTGCAGGACGGACTTGCGTCCTTGGCTGGGAAGGCTCGATTCCAAGTCCCAGGTTCAGCTCTGCACTCCCTCAGCGACTCCCTCGGTACACTCCGTCCTCAACGCCTTGCTGCCTCTTTGAGCGATCCGTCTCTGCTGTTGTCGTTTCATGTTTTCATGCCGTTCGAAATGCCGTCGCCCGCATCGACCTCTCGCTTTCGCGTCGGTTATCGTTGCGTCGTTCGGTAGCACCACCTACATCACTCCGTCGCGGCTATGTCTCAGTTCTCAGCCCTCCCATCCCCGATGAATCAAGCTGACCCCAGTCTCCTCATCCCCCTCAACATTTGCCGTCACAAGGAGAACTACCTGACCTGGAAGTGCGACGACGAGCGTCACGCGTACGACAAGTGCCAGTACGACGAGTGAGTAGACTTCTTTGGAGCGCTTCACATCCCTTCCTCCCTTGTCTTCCCTTTGTGGAGTCATTCCGGGGAAAGTGGAAGCTATATCGTCATTCCGCAGGTATGACATCCGTCCCCTGCGTCGCTCCTTGTGGACTGAGCCAGAGCTAACATCCAGCTACATGCGCCGCATGAAGCAGCTCTCCAAGGAGAAGCGGGAGGCCCGCGAGGCCGCCTCTGACGAGTAGACGCGCCGCAGACCACAGCTAGAAACTAAAAAATGCATACGATACCCTCAACGTTTCATTAACCCTTTCTTCTTATCTGTGCAACTATCGATACAACTGTCAACTTCTGCGATACTGGGTGGTCTATTCACATTAACCGTCTAGGATTGCTTCCTCGCTGGGCGGCGGTGTCGCTTAGTAGGGGATTGGAAGAGGTGGTGTCACTGGAGCGGGGTGTGGGTATGGCTGGGAACTTCTGAGATTGCAAGTGACGGAGAAGGTGGAGAAGCGAGGAAGGTCAGAGGCATAGCCGGGTATGAGGAGGGGTACAGCGTAGTCGGTGTCACTGGCGGCGAGAGACCGAGAGGCGAAGGGCTCGACGGTGCCGAGGATCGAGGTTGCGAACTCTGACTCTCAGACCTAGCGTGCAGCTTGAGGCTGAGACCTCTGCGCACCCGCGGCGACCACACTCGCCTCGCAGCCACCGCGACGGGCGACAAGCACGTCGGCGACCCGGATCCCTAGTCCTCCGTCGGTAAGACCTCCTTGCGGAAGGGTGGCGGGGCAGATTTCTACTCTTTCTCTGCCTTGTCCTCCTTCTCGTGATGATGGTGGTGGTGCAGGAGGTGATCGACGAACCCGCTGAGGCGGTGATGATGGTGGTGCGACGAGGCTTCGCTCGACGATGTGGCCGACGCGCTGGTTGGGGTCCTGTGGCGCGGAGAGATGTGTGCGAGGCTCTTTTGGAGACTCTCCAGGGGCCCGCCACGGACGCGCGGCTCGCTCAGCGTCTCGACCTGGTCAGGGCGGGGCGTTCCGGTCGCCGACACGGGAGCGGCGCCGGCAGCTCCGTCGCGGCCCGGCGAGTGCAGCGCGCTCTGCTCGGAGACAACGCTCCAGCTCTCCTCCGTAGCAGTGTCGCTAGTACTGCCAGTGCGGGGTCGAAGGGGGAGAGGTTGGCGATGGTGGGGAAGGGGCTTGATGATGCTGCGAGCGTAGTCGAGATCGCGGTAGAGCGACTGGATCGCCTTGCCGATTCCGTCCTCGCTACGAATGGCGGCACCGATGGCACGGGCCTTGGCGATCTGACGCTCATTCGTCGTCGCCGACTTCATCGCCTTGGACAGAGCGTCCGTCGTGAGCTTCTTGATGCCGTCACCAACACCAAGCGACTCGACGCGCTCAGCCCAGAAGAATTGGTCACCGAAGAATGGCTTGATAATCGTGGGCAGGCCAGCGCGAAGCGACGCACCGGTCGTGCCAGCTCCACCATGGTGCACAGCTGCATCGATGCGGGGGAACAGCCAAGAGTGGTCGATGCTGTCAATCGCGTAGATGCAGTCGGGGTACTTGATGCCGTCTGCGCCGTCCGCGTCGCCAATCTTGGACTTGTCGCCCGAGTTCCGCGAGCCGCGGTCACTCCATCCCTTGGACAGGATGGCGTGCACGCCGCTCTCGACGATGGCGTCGACAACGCACTTGGTCATCTCCTTCGGGTCCGACACGACGATGCTTCCGAAGCCAATGTACACGACCTTCTTCCCCTTGGCGTGTGCGCCGTCGATGAAGTCGGTGATGCCCTTGGGGGGCTCCCAGACCTTGTCCTTGCTGCTAGCATCGTCAAGGAACCAGTATCCGCACACGTGGATCCACTCGCTCCAGTCAAGAGGAGGGGGCACGATCGTAGGCGAGAAGTTGTAGAGGAAGGGCACCTTGTCCTGCTCCATCGTTGTCAGATTGGTCGATTCAAGATGCAGCCACTTTTTCCGCCACCTGTTCACCTGGCGACTGATCGCGTGCCAGAACACCTGGTCGAACATGACGTACGTCATGTAGTTGTACGCTCCACCACGCTTGTACTCCGGCACGGCAAAGGCCTGCGGGTAGGCACGAGTGCGCGTCCAGGTCATGGTGAACGCGCGGTAGTAAGGGATCTGCAGTGCTTCCGCGATGTGGATACCAGCCATGGCGCTCGGCGATTCGATCAGCAGGTCTGCGCCCTGGCAGGCCTTCCAGCTCGAGACGAGCAGGTCATCCAACCAAGTACGCATCTTCGCAAGACCCTCCTTCAGGAAGGCGACGGTGAACAGGCCGTTGTCGACGCAGAGCTGCATCAGCTCGGCCGGGTCTCCGCCGACGCTCTTGAAGCCGATCTTGTGACCCTCAACCCAGTCCTTGTACTCTCCGTGAGTCGCGATTGTGCACTCGTGTCCCTCGGCCATAAGGCCCTTGCACAGCGCAATGTACGGCTGAACATCGCCGCGCGACCCGATAGTGAGGCAGGTGATCTTCATTGGCTTGGGCTTGAAGTCGAGGAAGGTACTGCTTGTCGAGCTGCCAAACATGGGCGATGGCACCTTCTCGTCCTTCCCGCTAGCCAGGTGCTCCTCGATAAATTTGGGTGACTCAGTCAAAGTTGAGCCACGCTTGGCGGGATCTGAGATGCTGTCACTCTCGGCAGCCTCGGCGAGCGTGACCTGCTCCATGCGCTGATCGAGCAAGCGAGAGCACTCGTCGCGGGTGCGCTTCGACGAGAATTCGAGGAAGATCTCCTCGTACCCTTTCACGATAAGGATAAGCGCGTGGTGCCCGAAACGGAACGCTTTCTGTCCCTTTAGGCCATACAGATCCTTGATGGGGACGACCATCTTGGTCTTCATGACGGCGCGTGTGGAGATGAAGCAGAAGAAGTTCTGCGAGATGTAGAACCGCCCATGCACCGGTACCACGCGGTACAGGTAACCTGTAAAGTCGTCTATGAGCACCTCAGTGTCAGGCATCGAGAAGATGGCGTGGAACTTGCGGCTCGCCTCGTCCGTCTCCGAGTCAATGCTCCAGTCAGAGACAGAGCCGCCGGTCAGGCGCTGGATGATACTCGACCCGCCACTGTGCATGCGGCGATGGCGTGAGCGACGCGGAGACTCAGTCTCGCTCATCTCCTCGTCCGTCGTCAGCGGGATGGTGGGCTCGACAACCTCGGTGACTGACGGCTGCTTGCGCTTCTTGACGCGGCGCGAGGGTCGGCGTCGCGGCTGGATGTCACTTGAAGAAGGCGACGAGCCGAAAAGCTTCGCAGCAGGCTTCCGAATCCAGCCTGGCGTGCCCCAAGAGCCGCTCTGCTGCTCGAGCATGCGAGGCGGAGGGCGTCCTACAGGCTTCGGAGGGTAACCGCCATGACTGCGATTGGCAGAATCAGCTTCTGACTCATAGTCGCTCGTGAATCCGCTCGTGTCACCGACCTCGGGCAGCGATGGCGGCGGAGGTGCAGCGATGGGCACACGAGAGTCAGACGTGTGCTGGCTGCTGATCAAGGGACGCAGAAGACTCCCGACCTTGGACACGCTAGCGCTCGCATACGAAGCCGCTGATCCGGGGCGCGTGCCTTGTTCGTCCGCGAGCTGCTGCGCTTGCTGCTGCAGCTCGGCGGTGGACGGGACCTGGGGTGGGTCTAACTCCTTGCGAGGGCGTGCACTCAGGAGCGCCTGAATAACGTCAAAGGCGTAGTCGTTGTCGCTGAAGCCGGCAAAGAAGTACGAGTCGACGCTCATAGCGTCCTCGGGGTCGACGACCTTGACCTCGACAGTCTCCGCGAACTCGAGCGTCGGGCTGCGCTCAATCTCGACAACGGCGTCAAGGGGGATGATGAGTTTCACGCTCTCGCCATGATGCTGCGTCTTGAGGATGACCTTGCGAAGTACTCGGACCCACTCCTTCGCGTTCGCCTCCGTGTCCGCTGTGAACGTGTAGTTTCGCTCGGCAGTGCGCAGCTTGAACTTGGCACCGCTGATCATGTCGACGCTGCTAGCGTAATGCAGTGACACGTTGCCCTTGGGGAAGTACGGGTCGGTCGCGCTCTCGTACCAGCTCAAGACGTCGTTGCGGAGGACGAACCAGAACTTTGTGCTGAGTTTCGTCTTCTTCGACTTCTTCCACAACGGGCCACTCTTAATAGGCTTGCGCTGTCTGTCAGTTACCACCGAGCGCCGTAACTCACGTCTTGCTCTGGCAGATGCGCAAAGAAGCAAATGCGCTGAGCTGTCAGGAACATGTAGCCCTTCAGCAAGCTGTTCCTGAGCAGCCAGCATGCCAGCTCTTCGACGACCTCTTCCTCCTCCTCCAGTCCAAACACTTCTTGCAGACGCTGCGCGAGCTTGCCCTTGCGGATGCGCTCGCCGAGGTCAACTTCGTGGTCCATGCGCGTCTTTGGAGACTCTTCCTCCGCGGGCGTAGTGGCACCACTGAGCGGGAGCGGCTTGTGGCCCGGTCGCTCCGGGGACAGCTGGTACGACAGCTCCAGGGGACCCGGAGCCTGCGCGCGGCGCGCAATGGTGTTCTCCTTGAAGGGGAAGTCGAGGCTGCGGTGGAAAAGGTGATGCCTCTTGTGCGGCGACGTCGATCGCGATCTGGACCTGGATTTGGTTCTCGATCCGGACTGCATCGAACTGTCAGAACTCGCACCAGAGCTGCTAGCCCGCGAGCGCGAACGGGAGTGGTGGTGGAACAGGTGGTGTTCATGATCTTGGCGGTGCTCATCGTGGCCGTCATGGCTGTCGTGGCCGCCGTGGGCTTCGTCTGCTTCAGGAGTCATCTCCATCGGCCGTATCGTATGCAGGCTCGAGTGAATGCGAGTTGCTGCGGATCAGCACTTAATGCAGAAGTAAACTTACGCCGCGGCCGTTGCGGGTTTATGACCTGGGTGCGAGACATGTGGTCTTCGTCTGCAGACGTCTCTTCGTCGCTCTCCCATGGCAAGGCCGTGAGGGCGGAGACAAGAGCGGATGTGCCCATGCGCATCTGTTCTCGGCGGCGAGACAAGGTCGGGCATCGGGGTGAGTAAACAATAGCATGCGTGGTGCGCGATTGGCAGAGCCGCGATCAAGGGGCCACGAGTGCGTTCCGGCACCGAACAGGTTAGCGTAGCATTGTCACGGCGCCAGTGCATGATCAGGTTCGTCGGTGGCGATGCGATATGTGGAGTCGGAATGTTGGCGGTGCAAGATTACAGGAATAGATAAGGCGCGTCAGCGTCTCTTCCGCAACAAATCGTGTTTACTCACGGTTCCATGACAGACGTCCTCGTCGCTCTCATCATCGTCACACTGGATCACCATCGACTCCTTGCCCAGTCCTTCCTCGGGGCTGTGTGGGGGTACATCGTCGCGACTCCAGTGGCGCGCACCGCGGAGATTGCGCCCTGAGTCACCCGTTCCCTTTCTAAGGGAGTACGTCGAGGAGAGCAGCGACGGTCCCGCGGAGATCGGCGACAGAAGGCCTTCAGTCTGCACTGGAGGCAGCGCGGTATGCTTCCTAGACTCGGTGGTGCTTCCCGTCTCGGTGCGCTCGAACGGTGGTCGCGCGGCGGCCAGTGGACTCATATCGGCGGGCGACTCGACCAAGCCCTCAGCGGTTGTCTCACTGATGGACAGCCGTTGGAGCTGCGAAATGGGTAAAGATTGAGAAGAGTCGGTCATCGGGGCGGCTGCAGAAGCGATCGCCGACGCCGAGGATGCGGAGGCCGGGATGGTCGACTGGGTCTCTGTTGATAATGTGGACGTCGATTCGCTGGAAGCAACAGGAATGTTTGTTGCTGCAGGATGTTGCGGAAGATCTGTTGTTGGCGTTTGTTGATCGAGATCTGACGAGGGCGGTTGCTGGGGCAAGGGGGTTGCGGCTGACTCCAGCCCCCTCGACGGTCCGATGGCTGGTGCATCAGTCGCTGTCGACGGCGGCGGCGGTTGCGTCACGCCGCCGAGCAGCTGCGACTGCGGCTGCGGCTGCAGCTCGGGCGGTGCCGTCTCCACCGTAACCGTCTCGACGACGACCTCCCTATCCTGTTCGCTCATGGCGGGTGAGTCGCCTGAGCTTGCGTCCTTCGCTCTGATGATCCAGCGAGTCTAGTCGTGTGAGGCGAGTGCTTGTGAAAGCAGTGGGCGATGCGCAGGTCGAAGCGTAGTGATGTATTCAAGGGAGGAAGGGGTAAGTGATGGGAGGAAGAAGCGCTAGGCTGTGTTGTTCGCTGGCTCGCGTAACGATGTGACTCGAGGTGGAGGTGGGGCCGTAGTCGTTGCTGATGGGGTCTGGCCAAGTAAGGTTTGCGATCCGTGGCCCCGGAGCAGGAACGATTGTAGAAAAGATGGCGGAGGGCAGACGAGTGTCGAAGTTGGAATCAGCTCGGTGAGCTCGGTGATGAGAGAGGGACGGACGTATGGGCGGAGATACGAGATACGACGGTCGGGTATGGTGGGAGTGGGGAACTGACGCAATTGCTAGCGTGCTCTGGGTGGCAAGCCGGGCCCAGGCCAGTGGAGAGTGGAGGTTGGGGATTTGCCACCGTAGAAGTGACAGACTGCTGGAATCAGTCCGTCTACAAGTCTTCCTTGTGATCGTGACAGTCTTCTTCATCGTCACTCGTCCCCATCACCTCAGCAGACTCTATCGATGCGTAATGATGACCTCGATCTGGTTGCGGAATTCCAAATCGTGAGACTAACGCAGCAAACATACTCTCCCACACGAGCGTACCCCCATTCCGGCTCTGCGCCAAGAAACCATCTACGCCCAAGCCTCCCTCCAGAATCTGTATTAGGACCTCGACGACACGAGAGTGGGCAAAGCGTTCGCTCGCCGTACATCGATATAAGTCTCCAATGACGGGCAACAGACATCGATAAACTACGGGCAGTTTGCACGGTCCGACACCGCCGGCCCACATGGCTACGCAGTCACTCGCCCGCATGACCGAACGCCGCCCCAATGACACTTAGTCCGCTCATGTTCACGTCATCGAAAAAGCTATCAAGCAGCCACATTTCGACTCTGCGCACTGTGGCTGCGCGGAGTGCTCATACCGTGCTGGGCCTATCCACGGCCACTACGCTGATACCGTCCTTAGCGCGCCGATTGTGGCCCGATTGCAGACCACGTTCGTCCTCACTTCGTCCTTTGGGTGACTTTCGGCCTCGATCGAACGGCCGATAACATAAGTCAGACCCCCCTAATTCCTCAACTCCTGAGAGCACAGACACAAACGTCGACATCTGCTGGGCCCTTCATTACTCGTTGGTCCTGATCCAAGGAATGCAGGTTTACGAGATAGTCGCAGCAGTCCAAAATTACACCAGCACAGACGCCCATAGAAGCATCGTTAGGGCTGTTGGACGCCGTAAAACTGAATACTGGGTCGGAATCCTGGGATCCTGCGGCGTTCACTAGTTCACTGGTACCAATGGCATCACTAGTATCGTACCCCAGCGCACGGTCCCCTCTTCATTATGGACTTGATCACTGGACCTAAGTGCAGGATTGCATGAAGGGCTAAAGGCCATGGACGGTTAGCTGGCGTTGATATCGGCCCAGTGCCTGTACTTTCGGTCCGCGGACTCCATTGAATAACCCATTATCAGCTGTGCCCGCTATTAGACTTTGGTTGTTTGATCGCCGATTGTCCACCTCGAGACGCTCCTAGGACAAGAATGTGAAGACTATGAGCGCCATGTATCGCGCCAACGTACCGACTGCCGAAACGGCAAGCTCACGATTTTCCACTCGATCGCGATCGCACAACTAGCAAAGCTCATTGTTCTGTTCATCGCTTGCCGCTTGCAGCACAATAAATCCTTGAAGCGCAGCACCAAGCACCTGCCGACTGTTTAATGGCTTCCCTACCCTCCCTGCTCGTGAGGCGCCGCCATGCCGGCCGAAAGGTCTTACTCATGCAACGAGGTTATGCTTGTTTTAGAACACCGTCCCCACCTCCCCTACACCCCTCTTCGATCTTCCCCCACCTACACACAGGCGTCGTTTTTTCGCGTCTCGACGCGTACACTGTGACCTCGACGGTACTCACATTCCACGGACTGACCCGGCCGTTAGTCACCTCACTTCCCCCCAAATCTGCCATTCCTGCAGGTAGTTTTGGTGGCTTACTCCCATATCTGGGCGTGTGGCGTCCTTCTCAGGATGACCAGGGCTGCAACGCCGAGCGGCTCAGATACAGATCGGATCGCGATCTCAGACTGCGCTGCTGCGGGGCCAGGTTTCGTCTTCTTCCCAGGAAAACTACTGCACACAAAGGTTGCCGGATTCGAACTTCGGGCAGGGTTGGTGAGAGACAGAACTCCGGGCAGGGTTGTGGAGTGAGATCTCGGCCAGGGTAAGAGCAACGGTGCGACACGTTTCGGCGCAACAAGGAGAGTAATCTTACATGCAGTACTATATTCCTGGGTTAGAGCGAGTGACCGCGATACAAAGTATAGAGACAAGTCCGGCCATGTTCGTGACTTGTGTAAGGTAAGACCAAAATATGAATATGAAGATAGGGAAGTGTGCCGAAAGATAGGGGCAATGATGTATGTCCGCCTGAAAAGTGACACTAGATTACAATGCTCGTCGAGCGCGGCGACGAGAAGGCGCTCATGCGCTCGTCGGGCGGGAATGAGTGGAATGACTGGTCATCGAGTGAGTCGGCGTAGGCGTGCTTGCTGATGGCCGAGGCGGGGACGTTCTCGCCCGAGTTGGACGACGTTGGCGTCGCAATCGGCGTGAACGAGTTGCAGCCACCGGCAGACGTCTTGCACGTCGACCAGGACGGCTGCTTGCGCAGACGGCGACGCGGGCGCGAGGGACCCGAGCCGCTGCTGCTGCTGTCCGACGCATCGCAGTCCGCAATGTCCGCGCTCGTGTAGTACTCGGCGGGCACAGTCGGGTAGTGGGATGGGTCGTGGGGAGTGTACAGCTGCTCGACCTGGTCCGGGTCGGGCGACGACGAAATGTCGCCAGACGAGTTGGACGGAGGGAGCGGGAAGTCAACAATGTTGGGCCCCAGGCTGAGCGAGTCCGAAGAAGCGGCATAGTTGATGTTGATCGGGACAGAAACAGGCGTAGCGCCAGTACGCTCCTCAGCAGCGCGCTTCGATGCACGACGCTGCAGGAGACGGGGCTGGTCCTTCTGCGCCAGCGTGCTCGTGACCCTCGGCTTGTTGTTCGTCAGGGCGGCGATCGTCGAGGCGAGGTGGCGCTCGCGAGATTCCGACGGGGTAGGCGAGACGGCACGGTTCGGGCGCTCGGCAATGTCGTCGAGACCATCGCCCATGTCGGCGCTGATGTCGAGCGCAAGGCTGAGCGTCGAGCCACCAAACTTGTGCAGCATCGGCGTCGAGTATGACGAAGAGGGGATCGCCCAGTGCAGGGGTGGCGGCTGCTGCACCTCGGTCGGCGGACGCGGGAACACGGTGCCGAGGCCGGGACGCGACTTGCTCTGCGACTTGAGCCGGCGGAGGCTGACCTTGCTCCGGCGCGAGTCAAAGCTGGTGTCACGCATGTCGACTTCGTCGTCATCGCCGTGACGCCTAGGGAACGACCCAACCCACGAGTTGCGCTTGTACCGTGAGTTGCGCGAGCCGGTCGAGGACTGTCCATTAAAGTCCTCGTAACGACCAGGGGTCGGCGTCGTAGGCGTCGGGGGCGAGAGATCAGAATTGCGGCTCGGGGTAGACAGGTTGATCATGCTCTCAACAACATGGCGGGAGACGCGGAAAGAGTCCTTTTTGGACTCGTCGTTGTCATCCTCACGGGGCACTGAGAAGTCGATGTTCGAGGAAGCCGCGTTCTGGTTCCGACGCACGAAGATGCTGCTGCGCGGGCGCAGGCCACGTCCAGTGCTGGCACTCTTTGGCTCCTCCGCCAGGACGGCGGCGGACGGCGTCACGCGCTCGGACTGGAAGTTCTGGGGAGAGTCCGGGGCGACACGCGAACGGCGGCCCTTGTTGAACGCGTTCTTCATGCGACCGATGAGGCCCACCTTGACGTTCGGGCTGGGATTCGTAGCAGCGGCGGGCATCTCACCCTTGGCGGACGCGTTACCGTTGATGCTCGTACCGCCGTTGTTTGAGCTGTGGATCGAAATTGCACACGACGGCTCGCGGGGCGACGCAGTGACAGTCGGGAGAAGAGGGGCGGCGGAAGCCTGCTGCTTGTCCTTCTTGTCGGACGGGAGATCCTCGTCGTCGCCGAAGGTTGCGCTGCGCTTGAGCGGCGGTCGCTCTGTCGACTCGGGCACCGGCTGCTCGTGCTCCTCCTCGTCCTCCTCCTGCACGCCAAGCAGAGGGGTAGGCGACATGATTGGCGGTCGCCAAAGGGGCATCGAAGAAGTTGTCGGGGCGAACGCACCGCTATTGATGATCAGCGGGGCGGGGCGTGGTGGGACGCCAGGGTTGCCAGCAAGGTGCGACTCGGATCGGGCGAACGCCTGGCGAAGCATAGGGTGACTCGGAACTGGTGATGGTGAGAAGGAAGGTTGCGAGGAAGCTGCCGAGATGATGACCGGCTGCGAGCGGGCAGCGGGAGCGGGATTGGCTCCATGTGACAGCTCCAGCGGGTGCGCGGCGCGGGTGCCGGCAGCGTTCTTGTCTGGACGGCCTTGACTGACGACACCAGGAACGCTGTGGCGCTTGGCTTTGGTGGTCTTTGCGGCAGCCTCCTTGAAGGTGGAAACGTCGGCGGACGACGGCATGTTGGGCGTGAGGGAGACTCGCGCGTCCTTGTCCTTTGCGCGGGCCAAGTCGACCATGGAGCCAAAGTTGAGGCGCGAGCGACCTAATAACCGACCTCCGCGAGTCTTAATCGCGACAGGGGGTGACTTGGCGGCATTCGTGCTGGGGCCAGCCTCGGATGGTGATGAAGCGCTGTTGGACTGGGCGGACGGCGGGAGCGACACGACGCGCTGGGAAGCGTTGAAGAGATTCTTCTTCGACTTCCACCACTTCGCATTGCTGACTTCCTTCTCTGGAGAGGTCGGTGCCTGCGAGGCGTCGTTCATTGACCATAGCGAGAGCGGGTCATCCTCGGGTGGCGCAGCGGGCTGTTTCTCTTTCCTGAACCACCTTTTCTTTGGCTTGCTCTGAGGCACGTTCGCCCAGCCATCGCCCAAACCGACGACACCAGGCATCGATCGCAGGGCCGCATCGACCGGCGCACGGTGCGATGCCATGTACGAGTCCATCTCATGCTGGTCGATTTCGACATCATCGTCCTCGTCGTCTGATGAGAGGGCCTCGTCGGCGAGGTCAAGGGCTACTGGCCACCGGCGGGAAGCACCGTCCAGGTTGACGGATGACAGGCCGAGCCCTACTGGTCGGCCTGACTGAAACGCGTGGTGGGACAATTTTGAGGTGGATGCGGAGGCGTTGGAGTTGGAATTGTTTGTGCTGGCGGCGGTGGTGGCTGGGGAGGCGGATGCGGCGGCTGAAGGAATGGTGGAAGGGGGGATGCCAATCGTCGGAGGAGCTTTGGCATTGTCGAACGCCATGTCAGGGAGCGAGGCGGTCGAGGAGGAAGGGGAGATGGTGTGATGACTCTCAGAGTCAGAGTCGTCGGCGACCGGCAGGGCGTCCATTGACACTCGACTTCTTGATTGACCGGCGCCCATCGTGAATGAGAGAATCGACGCTGATCGTGACTGATCGCTGACGAGCGATGTCAAGGTGTGCGATGGGTGGTGGGTGTAGGATGAGCCCTGGCGCCAGGTCGGGGAGAGGGTCCTGCCAGCAGCGGCCGTGTCTGTCCAGGGAATGGGCTGGCAGTCGTCGTCTAGAAAGCGTGTAAGCAAGAGAAGATACTCAAGAAGACGTGTGCGAAACAAGGAGAAGAGCAGTGGTGAAGAAGAGTGAAGAGGGGGAATTGCAAGCAAGCACTTGAATGGGACGCAGAGTGCAGGATGCAGGACGGACAAGAGTGGGAGGAAGGGGATGAGGGTTGGAGGAAGGCAGGGGAAGGCAGGAGGGAAGGCCCGGAAGGCGGCAGAGGTGCAGGATGCAAGGGGGTTAGGCAGGGACGGCAGAGCCTGGAAGCGGGTGGATGGATGGCAAGGAGTGAGCCGAGACTAAAGTGGACTCGCGCAGTGTTCTGGCACGTCTGGCAGCATGTGTCTGTCCTATTCGGTCGGCCGGTCGGGCTCGCCTAGCAATCTGGCGCCCGTCTACCCAACCCAGTCTACTGCATGCACCATGCGTTGTGTGCCGTTCGGATCAGGCCATTGGGCGCGTTGCCAACGGGCTCCAAATAGAGTAGAACGCACGGTCGATGTGCCTTGCCTGCTACCTGTGCCCAAGACAATAACTAGTGCAGGGCCGCAAGCTAAAGAGGGTACACTTACATGAACTGGTGCGCGAGTGACCGCTGAGTCCGCTCAACCTGCTGGGACCCGCCATGTTGACTGCGCTCGTCGAGGGATGCATGGCGCTAGCAACGGCAGCCGCCATCGTCTTTGCTGCACTCGACGCAGTGGACGCAATGGACGCGTAGTGGTTAGCGCTTCCAGCTTCCAGCTCCTAGCAGTGCGGCCGTCTAGCGTGCGGATGGTTTTCAGTTGAATAGGGGAACAAAGGGGCGGAATAACGAAAGGGGGCTTGGAGTGAGTCGCTAGGGCAAGGGGGCAAGGAGGGGCCGATGAGGGGGATTTTGGACCGTCCGACAGTTGCTGGGTCACGGTCTGCCTAGTGCCGATGATCGATGGGACAATGGGTAATGGCGAGGAGAGAGAGAAAGGTGGCGATGACAGCGGTCAAGTCGGGGGTCGAGACGGTGGGTGGACAGTCGACGCGTGAAGGATCGAAGGATATTGAGGGGGATGATGATGGGTCAGAGGGCCCAGGTGTTGGAGTATATGGTAAGGTTGTGTGGGAGAGGTGCCAGTGCCAGTGGTCCGACCGAGTACGAGGACGAGGAGGAAGGCAAGGGCATGCAAGGGCCAAGGGACGCAGGGCAGACGACGAGAGATGACAGGCGCAGGGGATGCAGGGGAGGGAGGATGGCCGAGAGTCGAAAGTCGAGAACAGAGTTGGGACGGCGAGGGAATCGAGGAATCGAGGAATCGAGAATTGGGAGGGGAACAAGGGGAGGGGAGGGAGGGAGGGAAGGGAGGGGAGGTCAACGTAAGGGACATCCAGCGAGGGACGGGCAGTCAGGGTGGGAGGGCATCCAGGGCAGCAGGGACGCAGGGAGCCAGGGTAGATAGGGCACAGGGAGACAGGGCGCAAGGGAAGATATTGATGCCAGGGTGAGGAGTGTGTGCGTCCAGACGCGGCCACGGCCCAGGCGATTAAACCAGGCAGTCACGCAGAGCACGTACGGCACAACGGCACGAAAACCAAAGCACAGGGCCCACCCCGAGGTTACCACAACCCAGTTCAACCCAGCACAACACGGTCAACGGTACCACGGTCCACGGCCAAGGAGCACCAGGCAGGCAGCAGGCAAGCAAGCACAGTAGGACAGGCAAAATCGATAATTAACCGGTATACCGAAAAAGTCATAAGGAATCCATGTCAGCTCTAATATCACCCAGGACCGACACCTGTGGAACTCACCTTGCTTCGTGCCCTGACTAGAGTACCGACGGGTACCAGGGGCTTGGGATTGGATTCACGGGCTGCACCGCGGTCAGCCTGGCGTTGCGAATTCCTCAATCTTCAATCCTCAGCGCGTACTGTCAAATCCTGACGGTAATGCGAGCGCTAGATGTCGGCCGTCGGGCACCAGACAGAGCTGTGATCGGAGGTCGTGTCTGGGTATCGGCGGCGGCGGCTCTGATCCTGGTTCTATTCACAGCTTAAGCAACCGCAATGCACCCGAGACAACGCCGCTGGGTACTGACCCTTCGCGCCTCGATTCTCAATCCTGGACGTCTTCCCTGCCTTCCCTCACAGCTGCGCGTTGCGCGGCCGCACGGCTTGCACCGATTTGCAGGTTACGAGATGAAGACACACAGGCGGCCTGTGCGTCGGTGGAGCAAGGAATGCTGGTTTGTCGCTTGCGCCGAGCTTAAGGGAGTCGGTGGCGTAGTGCTGTGTGAACCAAGTCGCGTCGCGTCGGGAGAGGAGGGGGAAAGGGGAGGCAGATGAACGAGCGCGGGGCGAAGAGGTGCTGCGACCTTGATGCTTTGAACTTTGGTTCGTGGACGTAAAGTCTGGGTAGACAGGTCGGCGGGGAAGGGTACCTCCACTTGTAATGACTGGGCCACCGACGTGTTGGTTTGTCCGTTAGCCGCCAGTTGAAAGTGGAACAATGATAATAATAATCGGCGGGCGGGAAGGTGAGGCTGGCGGGTCCGACAATTATACGGTGGCGACGGAATGTCTCTGGTCGCAATGAATGATGAATGCAATGAACAAATTCCCGCGAGTCAAGTCAACAGCCGTGCCGTGTCCGACCGGGCTGCGGCGAATGCTTTCCGGTGCTGGTGATCGTCGTGACGTCCTTACCGCGCACGTCGGAGATCGAGTTGTCCGTGCCGTGTGCCGTCTGTCACGGGGCTGGGGCCAGACGAAGGCTGATCGGTGGGCCGAGGCTGTGGGGCGCACAAAAAAGATTCGAAGTAAACGGAAGAGTGTAAACAGTCTCACCAATACACCAGATATAACTGATCAATGGTTTCAGCCGGATACAATGGTGACTCGCGGAAGATCACACAGGACCGGTTTGTTATTGTGTGTTTGGTCTGGCTGACCGTAGGTAATGTCGATGTGACCGTTTACCTCGTGGTCCTGTGTCGCAAGGTACGGCCAAGCCAAAGGTGGTAGGCTGGGGGTTGCGACGCGACCAAAGATCGCAGGAACGACAATGAGCTGATCGGAGGATGAGAAGGAGTCACGCTACCAACCGAAGGCTTGTCTCTCCGATGGGTAGACGTACGTACACCTGTTGCTGAGAACTACTTCGATCAGTGACCAGCAACACGAACAAAAGTCTGGCAAGCAATGCACGCAAAGTATGCAGCAGCACAGACGTCAAGAGGCCGACGTACCTATGATGAGGAAGGGTGTGTCGGCTAACCACAAACGCCACAGGACCCACGCAGGGGAAGACAATGGCGTTGAGAGGCTTGGCTCGCCTCGGCTCGTCCGGCTTGCCGATGGCTGTTGCACTTGACGCGAGGGCAGGTTGAGCTATTGGTAACCAGTCAGATGTCTCAAAAGCAAGACCAACTGCAACGCGTTCTTCGCGTTCGCAATGTAATGTCGGGGACTGGTAACGCCTTGATTAGATTGCACTCTGCAGTCTGAACGGCTGAGCGGGGAAAGTTCGGGCCGCCTAGAGTTGTGTGAGTGGGATTGTGTCTGAGACCGCTGTGTGGGTGTTAAGATTATGTACCGCGCAAACATTGAGCCTAAAGATCCTTCTCCCGCAAACTTGTGCACGTTCTAGCTCAGACAATCTATGGTTAACCGATGGAAACGACTGGGCTGACAGGCCTGGGCTTCGGAGGATGCCAGGTCGAGCGGGGAGCTAGCGCAGGTTCGTCTGGGAGCATACGCAGTGGAGTCCAACGTGCATCGAGGCGCGCGTCAACAGCGCTGAGGGTACACATGCATCGGATGCCACAAGTGAAACTTGACACAGAAGCTCCACCAAGACCTAGGCATTCAGCAGGTTTGCAACTCTGGAACCGCGTGATAGGGTTGAGGCGAGTCGGCGGTCAGAACGTGTCGCGGTGACACCCCTGGTGACTCCCCTCGCAGGAATCAGGTCAGCTGAGTAATGGTCGTGCTTCCCTCGGTGCTTCTGCAGGTCTGCGGAACTTTGGTGCGAGTAACGATCTGTGGTGGCTCTGAGCCTCGCAGGATCTATGGCTTCATGAGAACGGCGAGTAGTTCGGAAACTCTGCGCCACATGCTGTCACTGACCCACTCACCCGCAGCACGAAGTCTCAGATCTGTCCTGTCCAGGATCCTTGCCCGGTGGCCCCCAATAGCGGGTGCGCAGTGAGATCCTCCCCAGTCTTTGGCCAGGTGCATACGCACCGGCCGAAGTCAGCGGCCACCGATCCAGCTGAGACACTACTGAGCCGTGGTAAGTCACAGGTGCAGACCTCGCCGCCTTCGCCGCACGCACGACCAGTGCGGCGAAGGGAGTGCGTAATGAAACCCGAGAATTTAGGTTTGGCCAGTATTATAGGTCTCCGAGCTGTCGCACGTCGTATCCTCGGCGAAACAAGATGGCGCTGTGCACAGGAGTTCTGGCAGAAACATTTCATCCACACCTATCCAGTGAGCGCAGCGAACGTTGCTGCGAGGTGGCTAGCTGGACGATTTTGCACGCACACCCGCCGACTGCATCGTTCACATACCTCCGCTTTACGTTGCAGAGTGCCCGAGCGATTCCAGCCAACGCACGGAGCATGACCCCGATCTCGTAACAGCTTGCAGTGCAAATCATCCGGCAGATCCCCTTGACCCGACAGAAAGATGCATGTTGCGTCCGAGTTCAGGATCATCTGACAACTCTTATTCATGCACCTGGACATCCGCCAGGCAAGGAGTATGGCTTCGCACATCTCGGCATCTACATTCAACAACGCAATTAGGACTGATCCCGACGGCATGATATGCAGCCTGAACGGTATGCCTGAAAGTGTCGGTGGCCGTGCAG